TAGCAAGTAGATAACTTCTAGTCACAGTTCAATTTTATGACGCAACTCAGACGACATATGCCTAAACACTTATTACCACGAAGCGCAATGTTGACTAGTGTTGGGGTTTGTTGGGAGAAAGTTAGGGGCGGCCAAACCAGAACGTGGCATCACTCCATAAAGTCACTAACTTTTTATCTGAGCCATATTGGCATTCGATTCGTGAACAAAATGACCTCGGGTGCCGATAAAGATATGACGAGGTATGGCGACTCTGAACAATGCGTATATGTACCTGGTCCTGCGTTGTAGGTGTGTGACTGACTGAGTAAAGGGATTTAAATAAACACCAACTGATCACGATTGTTAAATAAAAACTAGATAACCGTAGATCTCACTTAGATTTCTATGATCAAATATTTCCAGTACGTATTCAAGTTGCTGCTGCTCTTCTAAGTACGATTTTATTGATTGTGTTTTGGTTTAACGATAACTATCTTTATAAATTTGGTTATTCACTTGTGTATGGAAAAAGAAATGCGACTCATACCAACTAAGTTATAAACACTGATCGTCATCACGTGATAATGTTTTGATAGAGAAAAATAGCTGAAAGGTGATAGTGAGTACTTTATTTGGTGTATGCTTGAAGGTCAACGATAATTTGTTCCAGGTTTTAACGATTATACCTTGAATTGAGAAAAATTGGTCTTACAGTAAAGCTAGATTTTGTATGATTGTGGAAGATCTGATTTTAAATAGCGTCAACTGGAGAGCATAGTTAAAAATTCTTTCCAACTGGGGTTTTTAAATGAATGGAACCAATAAAAAAGAGGAAACACATTCGTGCAAATATCCCAGAGAGTTAATGATTAGATTTATGTCTAAGTAATGCACCATACATGCAGTTTTTATAATCTTTTTCAAAAATGGTACTGCATCCACGTTGCAAACCACGTCCGAATTCAACATTGTTGGATTACATTTCCGGTCCTGCTAAGTATTTATGCAATACAACTTTTTGAGAAGTTGTAGAGTTATGGTATGCTTTGGTATTAGTACAAGTATAATAGTAGACCCATTCCTAAAATTGTAGATTTGTCATGATTTGAAAACCTAATATATAATATCATACGCAGAATTCACATCATCGTCATATCGTAATAATAAGCTATGTAACGTCTAATATTCCTGAAGAACACATCTGGGCCGGGTAGAAAGTAATATACCTAGTATAAGATTCAATAGATTTTACATGGAGTTACCATGTCTGCATGGTGTGCACCAGGTTACAGTAGTTAGAATGCAGCATGGATTGACCAAGTAGGCTAGAGATGTAAGACTGGCCATCTTATTGCAGAGAGCGTTTGAATCAAGCAGAACAATCGAAAGCTGTTAAGGAATAATAAATTTTAGCAGCACAGCAGCTAGCTTAGCGAGTGATGAGTTATTTTGTTCAATGTTTATGTGATTGACATTTCCCGATGGCTCTTCATAGTTAAGCGATTCTCATCAGGCTGCATTCTAATATATTTTCATTCTAATATATATACTTATTTGAAATTATTAAACCAATAAAGGCAGCTTGTGAGTTAGTGATAACAGTGGTACAGATTACATAAATATACATAATACGTGAGAAGTACAAATTGATAGTGTGATGAAAGGTGTGCAAGCTGTGATAAGAGGCTTGAATCATTGTTCAATTTGGGAAATAGGTCAGGGATTAGAAAAATATAGACACTGAAATAGCACTCACAAAAACCATAAGATTTCGTAATAAGAAATGTTCAGATAACTGAGCAATGAAGCGTATATTTGAGAAAAAAGGACAGAGTGGGAAAGTGTTAAGAAGTATAAACGAAGAAAGAGTATGGAAAATAATAACAAGTAAAGTCGTTCATTAAGGCTAATGAAGAGGTAAATATGTTAGGCCTAACTTGCACTGGCTTTGTATATTTTGCAGTATGAATAAGGCGTTAATGATACAGAGGGCTGTGAGTCTCTTAGCTATGGCCTGTAAGAAGAATGATAGTGGTTGCGCTGGTAACACGAGTACTGACAGTAAATAATGTATCAGTGTGGTACGTGCTGTTACGGGATGTGTTAACTACTCGACTATGTTTGATGGGAAATCAAATCTTTGCTGAAACCAACGAGAAGTGAAGTGCCACTTGATATTGATATGAGTAGTCATACCTCCACAGTAAAAACAAAAGACCAGGATAAAACCGTCACCGTCCCTAATGGTCCCGATGTCGCTGTTCTGAGTGACGGAAAATGGTTGACAGCACGTAGACAAAGAAGTGAGCGAAAAAAGCTATAGGAAGCACCCAATTAGTTGACAAGTCATTGGTGAACTCTTATTCTGAGTCACGAAACGCACTACCAAAGTCTGATAGTAGGACAGAATTCTGTCACGGCTTAGGTTGATTATTTAAGAGTTGACCGCAAACAACTAAGTATATGTCAGAGCAATTAAGCGCAAGTATTCATTCACTTCCTTATTTTGTATAGGTATGATATGTCCTGTTGTCTTATGTTGAATATTGAATAGCCTTGTGTGCTTAAACAGGTAATCCCCGGCACCGCTGTGACTGTGCTATCATCTAGATAAAGACCTATTCATTACTAGTCTAGTTTCATCTATCAATAGAACGGAGGTTAACTAAAGGCACGAAAACTCTGTAGTGGCATTGAACAATAACCGCACAATCCACAAAGCTGAACACGAGACTACTCAGAAAATAGATATTCAATATTTAACGCGGATAAATACCTAACAATGGAGAAGGCGCGAAGAATGAATTGAATGGACTGGAGTTGATCGAGTGGCATGGCTCGGCCATGCAGGCGTGGTCTCTGCTGAGTGTTACCTTATATCTTCTATTCATATTAAATATATTGTTCTTTCTCTAGCCTAGCCTTGTTCTACATCATGTATTGGTAATTGATACGATACAGTGAGTTGGTGTAGTCGATGGTGTGACTTCCACGTAAGATCTTATAGATTAGGCAGTTATATCATGACGAATCTACAAATTTAGGATTAGGTCTATTATTAGAGCAGTTCTAATATCATAGTAGACCATAATTCTACAACTCCACCCTAGCGTGGTTGGGAAAAACTCAATTTCATCAAATATTATCGTAGATAGTTTACTAGAATCAAACGACACTGATCTCAAAATTAGATACGCGCTTGATTTGGAAAGGCTCGGAAAACTTGTCCGTATTATCTTATCAGGTGATTTCAAAGCAGTTAATGTCAAAAATTGGTAAGAACAGGTAAGAAGATCGACGACAGTATTGAATCCGACGATGTGAACTCCTTAAGGTAATCCTAGCGTTAGAGAAGCAACGTGATCTTTCGTTAAGTAGCGCTCGTATTCACGCCAATACTGGCACTCGTTTAAGACCTGATATGTCTCTAAAATACAAAATAAAAAGGAAGAAGGCATTAGCTGAGCTTGACACTCGTCGACAAAATGATGACGGAAATCTCTGCTTAGTTAGTCTTTGATTAGTCAGGTCTTGAAAGCGTATGCCACCATGGCCTGTGTGGATAGGTCGTCCTCCCTAGTTGTTTTAAATGCGAATGCTCATCGTCTAAGAAATGAATTCTATGAACTACGAGCACCAGTGAACCAAGTGAGGTCACTCGTTGTAGCTGTGACGGAAACTCGCTTAGTCCACGACGTCGACATTACTCCAGAATTATCCGGATGCCAGTACTTAAGAAGTGATAGGCATAGATATAGGAAAAGAGGTGGCATCCTTTTATACACTGGCAATAATATATACATCAGTTCCTTTGCTTGTGAATACCATGATAGTGAAACTTGTGAAGTCCTTATCTATGAGCTGACTATCAGATGTTGCACACTGTTACTCAGTGCCTAGCTGGTGAATTTATTTTGGAGCACTTTCACCTGTGCAGTACAAATAACACATGCTTGATATTAGACTTTATTGCACCTGAGAATAGTTGGGCCGAAATGGCCACTGTATTATCTACAAACTCATTTGATAGTAGGTTCCAGATAACGGTAATGAAGCATGCATTAGTAGAGCATGTATCCAAACCCACTCGTTTCGGTCCAAACCGAGGTTCTTCTTTGTCAGACTGGGTAATCACTCATGCGACTGAGGATATTACCAACCAAAATATTCTTCCATTGTTATCGATTAGCAATCACGCTGTTTTATCATTCACATTTGGAGCTAGTGACTAGAGGTGAATTCTAACAAGTGTGGTGATACAATTAAAAACTATGATTGTTCGTATCACTACATAATACGTGGAGTTGTTATCTAAGGTAATGGACTATAAAGATTTAGGAGTCATTATAAGGATTACCCCAAAATAACGAGCAACTGCAAGGCTGCTGCCAAAGGCTTCAGAGTATTGGGGCTATTCATAGGTCTTCTCAGCATTTGGAAGAAGAAATATTTAGAGTACTTTACCCGACTTTCGTGGGACCGCATTTAGAATATGGGATTCAAGCAAAGAGTCCTTGTTTCAAGTATTAGGCGGATATACTGGAGCGGGTCCAACGACAAAGGACTTAACTGGTAAAAGGTCTCTCTGGTCCATCTTATGAAGACAAGCTGAGGCACCTTAACTTATATTCATCATCTTATCGCAGATTATGGGGTTATCTGATATTGGCTTGTCGTATGCTGAACGACGATCTTGGCACTAATATGTCTTATCTTTTCCTCCCGCCTAGGACTGATCGTTTGACAGGATTTTCGAAGAAAGCCCAGAAATCGAAATCAAATCGGCTACATCTGGAGTTCCTTTCCTCTCACCGGGTAGTGGGTTACTGGAGTCCTCTACCAGAACACGTAATGTCAACACTCGTTGATATATTCATAACAAGATTGAACTTCCACAGTGTTACAGACTGGGAAGATTATATAGGTCAACAGATTTCGTTTCCTTATTACTGTAGACTGAGGTTCAGAGACTGTGATTCAAGCCTCAAATCCCTAGGTATTATCAAGTTGAACTGTTTAATAATTGCTGCAAAATACAACAGTCTGCGCTACTAATGTCCTTCAAAGAAAGGGATTTGCTGTATCGTCTTATCATTAGGTACATTTTCTTTCTAAATACATTAAGCTCAGTCAACTGTTTTATGATGGTTTTCAGACTATGGCTGTTAATCTGGTTAATTTAGTAAGTCCTTCAGCGGCATGTGGTCCATCCAATCGCCTATTCCGTCTCGTAAAACTTGGCCTTTCTGCTTCTGAAGGTAACATAATTTACTCCAACAGTTTGTTTCCCCAGAGTTATTTCAGTTGATTTTGTATTCACTGCCGGATTTTAGAGTCTGTCTATCATAATCTTTCATTGTGTATTCTAATAAAAATGTCTCAGTCTTCAGTCGTGGTGATAATAGTTTAATTGAAATATATTAATCCTTACTATCCAGTTTTTCTTTAAAAGCGTCCATCAATGGATCTGATTTCACCTGTTTGAGTGGGCTGAAGTCGTAAATCTGACCAAATCATTTGTAACTCACTGAAGTTAACTGGTATTTATAGCAGTAGTGCGAATTTCACCAGATATCTGATGATTGGCTTTGCTTAAGATCTACTTAAAGTAGACTCGTCCACATGTATGATAATCAACTGTTTGTCGGTTTCACATGTCTGTTTGTGCCCAGGTAAAAATCCACATTTAACTTCATGGACAGTCCCAAGTATTAAAGTTTGGTAGGTTTACATAAATTTACACATAAATATGGGCTCTGAGGTAAATCTTTTCGGTTTTATAGGACTGAAGGAGTAGTTGTAAATCGCAAGATTTTTGGCGTCATAGTGGCTAAGTAGTCAGAAGGTCTGATGGCATTCTTCGAGTACCTGAATGCTTTCTAAATAACTATTACAATTTCTTCCACTTATCACTGTTCACTCACAATGGTCATTCTATTAAGTGAGTGCAAAACACTAATTGTGTAGAGTGATTTTTGGTCTAAGTATTTGCTGTAAGTTTGTAGTATTCAATCAAGTATTCATAACTCTCACTTCGTGATAATTGGGCTATTTATAATGTGACTTATTATAATCATTATTTATGTGATTGACCTAATAAGCATAGTGCCATTCAGCCACATTGTGTGAGTTAATAACACCCGATCGTCCATGTAGAATTAAGTGGTGTAGCGGTAAATAAATCCCAAAAAACAAATAGTTCCGTAGGTCCTCGACATTGATGCTGATCTCGTTAGTTTTACTGAACACCTAGCTGAAAACCCTCTGTCACGAATGAACGTGGTTAAATACCTGCGTGATCCGTTCTAACCACTGGATAGATAAATTGCTTTAATTTTTTCAGTTATTCTATCATCTATTAATTTGACCTTGGGTATCGATGTGTGATAGTACGCATGTGTTCGTATACTTGCTTATCTCTTTACCTGCTATTTACTTAGTTATTTACGCCACTCCAGTTTACATTTGCCATGTTTCGTCTGTTTGCTGACTTGAATATGTGGAATACATTCACCCGAAGCACTCGTATCTGACACGATGTACCACTGCTCTAAATTTGTCAAGTCAACAAAATTTGTGCAAACTTAAAGAGAGTACGTGTACTTCATTGACATCAATATAATTCAGTCATACTGAGTCAATGGAACTAAAAGTCGTTTCTAATAGCTGTTTGGAGATCGGTATATCGTTCGTATGTAGTTTTTACATGCCCGCAAGTACTAACGATATCACAGACTTGTTTTTAAGTTTGCAGAGAGAGCGAAGTCAAACTGCAGATCGATTTGCCTGCATGTGTTTCTGTTAAGAATCACATTAATGTTGGATGCAGAGACATTCAAGGCCATGGGAACTGTGAATGTTTGCCTTATATCAACACTATTGGTAACCTTGGCTAGACTGTTATGTTCCTTGTCTTTACTTGTTCTCATTTCGGAATTCAGTTTACACAAACTGTTTTTACTGTTTCAGATGAGCATGAAAAGTCAGGCGTTATTGAAGGTGAAAGTATTGCCCCAGGCACGGGAATCGATCTGGAAGTTGAGAGTGAAAGTAGGTTATACTTCCTGGAATTCACTTTTTGTTGGTGGTTTCTGGTTATTGAGTTATTATTTAGCAAATGTTGTTTTAGTTATTGTGCAAATTAATTTCCGAATTGTGAGCTTTTTAGAAAATTAAATTTCATCATATAACTTAGTTGTAGCCTTTATATCTACTCCATAGCCTGTCATTGTTATAAACTGAACTGGCGTTATTTTGCTCACTCAAAAGTACCATAGTTGTTTACCGAAAAGCATACGGACTTTGACATTTTAGGCGTAAACTTGAAGTTATTGGTTAAAAGTTCTTAGATCTGATTATAAATGTTTTCTTTGTATAGTACTCTATTTTAATGTAGCAAAAATACAATAGTCATCTGTAATCTGAATAAAATACAACAATAAAATTAGTATTAAGACTGTTTGTTACTTTCAAGAACATCCTTTTAATAATCAGCTTCAGCCCTGATTTACTCCACGTAATCAACATTCTATTGACCCGGTTATTGAGCTTCTTGATGCCTGTCTGGATATAGTTTTGAAATTCAGTGAAACTAGGAGACGCATTTGACAGCCATTGACTCATGATATAAATTGTCTGGGTCCTCACGATAGTGAACTTGAACCTGTTGGAACTGTTTGATTTAGAAAACACGGTAGTTGATGAAGTGAAAAAATTCTTTGAAAATAACTAAGTTCTACAGATTTAATAACCTTCCACAAAAAGGCCGTGCGCGACCGGCCTCAAGCAGTTGTCCCTTGGGCTCTGCGGTCACGCTCCCAGGTCGTCAAGACCAGCACTAATCCAATTTCCTTTTCAGGTTCATCAAGAAATACCCTTCCACGGTGTGGGCAGCCGGGAAGTGACATCAGCCCTCATACCCGTAACAGCACACGAGACAAAGTTGGTCACATTCAAATCCTTCCTACACCTCCTAATACCTCTCTTATCCTCCCGACTAACCCTCCTCACGTCTCTTTATCACCTCGCACCGCTAGGGCAAACGGTTCGAGTACGTGGAACGCCATTCCTGGTCTCCTGAAACCACGCTCTAAACTACACGTAGGAGCTTTTAACGTACGAACACTTTGCCAAATAGGACAGCAGGCTTCCTTAGCTAAAACTTTAGAATCTCGCGCCATCGATGTGTGCTGCGTCTCCGAAACGCGCATACAGGATCCAAGTAGCGTCATTCATTTGACCTCACCATGCCAAAATAAAGAACCGACTCGATTTACGCTTCGTGTATCTGTAAGCCCTGATTCTGCTTCCCGTGGCCTCGCCGGCGTAGGTATAACATTGAGTCCTAGGGCAGAACTAGCTCTCTTAGAGTGGATCCCAGTAGACAGTCGTTTGTGCGCTGTCCGACTAAACGGAACAGTGAGGATCCGAAAAGGTAGGGACACTCGTCGTTGCCTCTTCGTCGTCTCTGCCTATTCTCCCACTGACTGCAGCTCAGACGATGTAAAAGATGAGTTTTACAGAAAGCTTTCGGACCTTCTCCGAAAAGCTAAGCGCTCGGATGTAGTAATAGTGGCCGGTGACTTTAATGCTCAAGTAGGTAAACTAAGCGATAAGGAAAGACACCTAGGTGGATCCTATGGTGTCGTGGCTCAAAGAACAGATAATGGCGACCGTCTGTTGCAGCTATGCTCAGATAACCGCCTGTTCCTTGCAAATACTAACTTTAAGCATAAGGAAAAACATCTTTTAACATGGCGACCCCCTAATTCGTCCCAACGTTGGACCCAAATAGATCACATCGCTATCAGCCACCGATGGAGGGGCTCGATAAAAGACTGTCGCTCATTCTGGAGCACATGCCTAGATTCAGATCATGCTCTAGTGCGAGCGCGTATTTGCTTGCGTCTTACTGGACGTAGGAAAGATCCTGCAAGGAAACCTCCTAGGGCTCTACTTAATGATAGTCAAGCTAAGAATATATTTCAGGAACAACTAGGAAAACAGTTAGGCAGCCATGTATGTGATGCCCACCCCGAGGCAGCATGGAACGATATCCGAAAAGCTGTGGAAATAGCAGTGATATCTGCTAGTAAGGTAAACCGTAAGGTTAGGGAGCAACACTGGATCTCAGCAGCATCTATCGCACTGATAGATGCTCGAAAACTCATTCCACCTGGCTCTGAACATAATGAAGAGCGGAGTCAGCTTAAGCGCAAGCTGACAAGAAGTCTACGCAATGATCGCGAACAGTGGTGGGTAGCGAAAGCAAGAGAGATGGAAAAGGCAGCGGCAATAGGTAATAGCAGACAATTGTTTAGACTCGTTAAGGAAACCGGAATTAGGAACCCGACCGTTAGCGAAACAATCTCAGAGAAAGATGGACATATTATTCATTCTCAATCCAGGAGATTGGATCGATGGGCAGAACACTTTAGGGATCAGTTCAACTGGCCTTCAGCCACACTTCGGCTTCCCACGATCTCCAGTCAACCTGAATGGCAAGTTAATGTAGGTCCTCCGTCCCTTTACGAAGTTGAAAAAGCCATAGGAAATCTGAAACGAGGGAGAGCAGCAGGCCCTGACAGGTTTACTCCTGAGATTTTTAAGGATGGTGGTCCAGTATTAGCAATGAGATTAACTGAGGTCTTAGGTAGAATTTGGGAACTGGACGTAATCCCATCTGACTGGTCTCAATCACTGATTGTGCCAGTTTTTAAGAAAGGACAAAAGTCCTCTTGTGACAATCACAGAGGAATCAGTTTGACAAATATAGTGTCTAAAATATTAGCCTCAATAATACTTCGACGCCTAACTAAAGCTCGTGAAGAGCAGACTAGAGAAAACCAGGCTGGTTTTCGACCTGGACGTGGTTGTATCGATCAGATATTCACACTACGTCAGGTTCTAGAACACAGACACACATTCAGACGCCCCGCAATGGTAGTATTTCTCGACCTTAAGGCGGCATTCGACTCCGTTGATCGTGAGGTTCTATGGCAGTGTTTGTCACTGAAAGGAGTACCAAAGAAGTACATTAACCTTATAAAGGCTCTCTACTCGAACACAACTGGTAGAGTGAGAGCTTATGGCGAACTGTCATCAGAATTGATCACCTCAAGTGGTGTTCGTCAGGGCTGTCCACTCTCCCCATTCTTGTTCAACTTTGTCATTGACGTACTTTTAGAGATAACACTCTCCTCATCTAAATTTACAGGGGTTGAACTTCTACCGGGAGGTTCACTTGTTGACTTAGAATATGCAGATGACATAGTCTTATTTGGTGAAGACGCTGACAAAATGCAGAGTCTTCTGACCACTCTAAGCAACAATGCAAGCATGTTCGGGATGCGATTCTCTCCCTCGAAATGCAAAATGTTGCTTCAGGATTGGGTTACATCGACACCCGAACTAGTGATAGGGAGTGAAGTAGTTGAGTGTGTCGACCGCTTCACTTATCTTGGAAGTCTCATCAGCCCTTGTGGTTTGGTGTGTGACGAAATCTCAGCACGGATACAGAAGGCTCGACTAGCTTTTGCCAACTTGCGTCATTTATGGCGTAGGCGAGATATCCGTCTATCAACCAAAGAACGTGTTTACTGCGCAGCAGTTCGTTCCGTCCTACTTTATGGCAGTGAAACATGGCCGGTAAGAGTAGAGGATATCCGTAGGTTACTAGTATTTGATCATAGGTGTCTTCGAAACATTGCTCGTATATCATGGGACCATCGAGTAAGTAACACAGTTGTTAGGAAACGGGTACTAGGTAAGGATGGCAAATCAATTGATGAAGTAGTGAAACTTCATCAGTTGAGATGGCTGGGACACGTGTTACGTATGCCCAACGACCGACTGCCTCGACGTGCTATGTTCAGTGGTATAGGAGTAGGTTGGAAGAAAGCTAGGGGCGGCCAAACCAAAACATGGCACAAATCCATGAAGTCACTGACAAGTGAGCTGAGTCATGTTGGTAGGTGTAGACTACCTGGTTGGGGACCGCGAGATGACAGCAACCGATGGTTAGAGACCCTGAATGACATGGCTCAAAATCGTTTGCAATGGCGCAGGTGCATCCACTCTCTGTGTTCTCCCAAACTCTAATCTTCTGAATTCTTCATGTCCCTTTTGTTCTCTTTCCAAATTTCTTTCACTGGATTATACTCTTTAAATAACATCTCCAAACCCTAATCTTCCCGATTACTGCTTATACTCTTATTACCTCTATCACTACGGGATTTGAATCGACAACTGCATCTCTGTGCTAATGTGGTGTGGCAACTCGAACTGATGTACGTACGTACGAAGTTCTACGTTGTTACTGACTGACTGACTGACTGACTGACTGAATAACATCTCGAACTAGCAACCCAATCATTTACGGTTGTGTGATTGTACAGGATTCTTGTGAAATCTGTGGTAAATTAACGTTTTCAAAGCCTCTATATGATATTAGATACACTTTAATTTAAACTATGGTACAAGTTGCGTAACAAACCTTAATTCCTTAATATTTCCGTTGACTTTGCGTACAGGTTCTACAATGGCTCCTGAGGCAGCTCTATATGAAACTTGTTATGTAACGGCACATAAGGCAGCCTGTCGTGCAGCATCCTTTAATAGCACAGGTAATAAGATGTAATATTTTTTATTTTCATCGTTATTATTCTGGAGTTAAAGTACAATATAAATTTATGTAAATGTTTATTAACTACTATATAAATTGTTAGTAGTGTAATTGCTCTAAATTTTAAAAGTCGTCCATTTTGTTATATTCTGTGCATACACAATGTCGGTGAAGGTTTTTACTTTCAATCCATTGCTTAACACTTGTGGAAATCATGCTATAGTTAATTTTGTATGTGTGCAAATTGCAGTAAATTAACTCGAAAAATAATCATTTTCCTGAGCGTAGATCAGTATAGGAATGGACAGGATTTTACGGAATTGTTATTGTGTTGATTTTAATATCAGAAACCTATGTGATTGATTTCAGATATAAAGATGTTTTTCTCCAAAGCATTTCTCTTCCTCAGTAGATTTGTGGTCATATCTTCCGAAATTTCTACAGTGAACATTCTGAACACTTCTTGTTGACTTTTTCCCCTTCATCTGCTTATCACTACGGCAAGTATTTAGATACAATGCCGTTATTGTATGAACTGGATGCACAAATAATATTTTGGATGTTTAGTTATATTTAATACAAAAGATACACGGTGATACTTAAGACCGTCAGTTTACAACAGCATTGACCACTGAACTATTTATCTAAATTACTATATTTTTAAATAATATTAAAAACCAAGTATATATATATATATATATTCAGATATGTGAAAATGACTTAAAAGTACTTTCTTTCATTTCCAAATGACATGGGTTACATGTCATACGAATAACTTTGTAAACAGCTGATTTAACTCCGTTTGAAAATATTTTCCCGTTTAGATGTACATTTTCGGTTAATAATTTTGTGCGAATAACAAAAGTAATTGAAAGATGTCACTGTTTTAGTTAATTGACTGGTTTATTTTTTATGACTAAATAATGCGCGAAGATATTCTTTGGTCTTTCTCCTATAAGCCTTTTATAAACTATATCGTGTTTTGTGCCAGACGTTTACATGAACGTAACAGAAAACATCTGACCTAGCTTTTAGTATTCATTAAGTTCACTAGTATTCTATATAAATCTTGAATCAAACTAATTATCCATTCCAATATTGTATTTACATTAACCGACCTCAAATTTATTGGATTAAGCACTAACTGTTTCAGGTTTCGGCTGACCATCGTGTTGCACCAAATTATAATTAATACAAGCCAGTCATTAAATTATAGTCAGTAGTATGTTATCTATAGAGATTATTGACCAATCAAGAAATCCAGTGCAATTATTGGTCTGGGTATACTGGTCCACATTTTTATCAAATTTGTGATTGTTTTATGCTGAACTGTCATTATTATCTCCTCGGTTTTCGTTAACTACATACACTGGATTCTTTATTGGAGTGGAGTTGTTTAAATCTGTGTTGGAGATTATTTGAAATATTTTGATCTTAATATTTACTTTGTGGAAAATAACGTTTAAATTGTCGACTTCTTATAAACCAAAGGTTGAAGTGTTTGTAAACTATTTGTTCGTCGTTCTATTGTTTTAATTTTTCCTTTTGTTAGGTCAGTTAGTTGCAACAGGATCTCATGATTCTTCGATCAAGGTAGGAAGTAAATTAGTTTCTTTTGTATGACTTTCTGTTCTTATAAGCACAATATCATGTTGAAGTCCTTAAAACAGTGAGATACTGAGTAAGTTATTCCTTTTGACTTGGAGTTGTTTACTCTACTAAAAATGGAAATTAGGTGTCTTTTGGTCGATCACTTATGCAACATATTTGGTTTCATGGTTGTAGAAATCATTACTTTTTACCGTATTCAATAATGAAAACTACTAACAAAGAGGAAAAAGCGATCTAAATGGGCAGAACAAACTTCTGTAGAATTTTCTAGGGATATAACAGTAGAGCATATTACGGACATTTTAAATAAAAGTAATCAAAATACACACATTTCTGTTTCACGCGATACGTGAGGATACACACTCCGTTTAATATAAAGCGAATACATATCTTTAACAATTCCTTGTCAGAATTTAAAACATTATTTAAGATGAATTGTTCAACATAGACATTTGAAACGCTTACAATTCGATTTTGAAATTTAGGTAAACTAATTAAAATATTATAATAATAGCAAAAAAGTAGTGCACTTGTTCGTCACAGTTACTCATTCTTTTTGGATAGAATATATATCTACGTCGAGTGGGACAGGATGATTAGTTTGCTAAGCTATAACTTAGTGATTAAAGCATTTGACTTTTAGTTAGTTGGTCATAAGTTTGAAATCTGAGTCGGTTTGAGCAGCTATTTCGTATCGATAGCCTTCACAGACAGTAAGACTTAAGCTCGAGTATACAAACTTGCACTCAACATGTTACATTACTCATTATTATTATTATTATTATTAGTATTATTATTATTATTATTATCACTATTGCACAGTAAACGGATAGATTATCAAGGTGATCACTGATGAACTGTCCACGGTACTTTAGTTTATATAGCACCTAGTTTCATACCTTCTTCGACCTAGATAACTGGATAGTAATATTATTGAAGAAATCGATCTTGTAGTAAGCATAATATGTTTTCACTAATTTCATTTGCCTACCGTTTACTTTATTTTGTTTTTAAATTATAAATCACGTGTATTTAGATACTTGATGTTGAACGAATGCTAGCCAAAAGTGTCTCACCAACTGACCATTTAGGTCAAGAGACACCTCAACAACAAATGGAGACTCATCCAGTTATACGAACACTTTATGATCATACAGCTGTAAGTTACATGAGTTTCTTTTTTAAGAAAAAAAAAGTTTTACAGCTATGCAGTGTTGAGTTATTTTAAATAAATTATATATTTTCAACTATTTTCTCCATTGCTATTAATTTTGTTCATAACATATGGCCAAAATATCAGTTTTCTTCTCATTCAACTCTCCAAATGTCAGATTTAATCAAGTGTATAGTATTCAAAATATGTAGATAGTTGTTCTCAATAATTGTCTTCTTAGACCACAATTATGAAACAGTATATTTAAATCAGCTAGTGTTAAATATCAAGTTAATTAAATCTGAAAATTGATGTCTAATTGTTATTTCAATGGATAAAAAAGGTAATCATGATCAGTCAAAGAATATACTTTTTTGCCGTTCCTTTTTCATATACAACACCCTGAAAATCATTCTTGTTAGTTGATTTTCAGGGGAACCTCGAAACGTCCTATAAATACCCTCATATTTTCATTGTTGGCTGGAGTACTAGTAAACTTCTTGAACTTCTGATTGTTGAGGCTTAGTTATACGGTGAATTCCTGTTTTAAGTTACTTGTGTTATTACTCCTGAATCTTAAGTTACTAGGCAGGGTTCCATGCTTAGCAGCTTTAAAATAATAAACTTTCTTATTTACATAATCAGTTTGTATTTACCACTGTACAGTACTATTGATTTTTATGGTATGTCAAAAGTAACCAATTATTATTATTATCTTGAATTGTACCAACCATTTATTGATTTATTTAAAATCTACGTCATTTTCGCTGTACATTATTCTATAATCGAATGCCCTGACCTTAATAAGAATTTCTATTGTTTTTCTGAATACCAGAAAAGAAAAGAAAAACGAAATCTCTCCAGATCATATGATGATTGTCATTTATGACTAATTATCTATTCCATTTCTTGTATTGGTTTTTTATCATCATTGTTAATAATAGCTACAAGTAAAGATATAAATGTATGTTCATTATAATAGAAAAATACGATTTTTCAAATATGAAACCATTACATACATACTCTTAGAAACGTTTTCAGAAAGACTAGTTTAACAGGGTAATAGTTTTATTTTATGTGTCATCCTTTTTATGTTTTTCAAAATATTGGTTGGAATCGATCAGTGCATTATAAAACTTTCATACTTTCATTTGTAGTCTTTCAACAAAAATAACTGTTTGAAAGTTGTTTTAGTTGAGCAAGTCACAATCAACTTTCATCATATAAAATAACTTTAATATTATAATAGGTCAAGAAGTTTTATGTTCATCATTTACTTCATAGTTTAGCTAGCGTGTAAGCTAATCAAGTAAATCTGGAATTTTACGTATAATTTCTGGATAGGAAAGATATGTTATCCGGCTAGGTCTAAATGTATTTGTATGTGGAGATGGCTTAGTCAAGTGCACAGAATCTATTTGTGAGTAAAAATCTTTAGTTATGTTTGAAAATATGGTCTCAAATTCCTTTGAGTACATATATACAATTAAGTGGGATTTTTTGGTTTCATGAAGCGAATTTTCGATTGTTAAAATGAAAGAAAAAAAAGTATTGGTCGATTGATGAACTCAGTCATGTGATATGACTGATTGATGGTTGCTCGGGGAATCAGATTATTGATTTGAGCTCCACAATGATTTAAAATCAAAGTCGACAGTAGCCAAGGGAATAGGCTCCTTTTTTCAATAAGATGACATACTTATATACAAAATATAAACACAAATATAGTATAATAAAATGTGATAAGCAACTGGAGGAAATCGGTCTATGGGTCACTCTATCTCCAATCAATTCAGACTTCCCTATGGCATTTTACAACCTCCCTCACGAAATGATATGAACCCGTAGGTCTCTTGATCATAGATGACTAGTATTTATTTCACCTATAAAGAAGGCAATTATCACATAAATTCGATCGATCTATGTTTGACTGCATCTCAGCGGCAGTTGACAGATGGCTAAGAGGCCAACCGTTGACATCGGCTGTAATGTATCTATGGGATACTGCAGTGGTATCTATTGATATGCCCACAGATTTCACCATCAGTTTGTTCCTTGAATTTCTCCACTTTGTTTTTTAATTTTCTATGTATCTTGTGGCTATAAAATCTGTCTTTATAGTCAATCATATTATATTTACTGGTTCGATCCTGCTTCGGTTTGGACACCCGGGCAGTATCACTGCTCTCACACAAATCAAATGAGATTTGTGTGGCGCATATGTATTTGGTGCCTTCTTGTACCAATATCTATATGTTCAAATAAAATAAAATAAAGAATACTGGTACGATAGTTTTTGTGCAAGCATAATTCAGTGTGTTTACATTTTATGCATACACCAGCAGTGTGTAGACCTGTGTGCAGTAGACGAGTAGTCTTTTCTTATGATGCCTATCAGCCTGTAACAAATTCTTATATAAATCCAAGGTACTAGCTGTAAGATTTATTCGATTAGGGAATGAATGCTTATAGTTAATTCGTGGAAATACAATACAGTTATGTGTGTCTTTTTATGTAGTTGCCACTAAATAGAGTACATATACTGTATTGTCCAATCTGACTCGGTCACTAAAACGGATTTAGCATTTGTCCACGATTCAGATCAAAATTGAATGGGAAGCTTTCTTGTAAAGAGTCAGTATTCATAGATCTCTATATGCTACCGGACGAACCGAAACATGTGTGAAATGAACTTTTCTAAATATACAATTCACTTAGCTACTTGTACTTTCACATAATCGCTGCCTGTCTAAAGTAGTTTTCGTTAAGGTCTCTCAATAAATCATCATAGCAACTTTCATTCTTTAGCATAACACACGCTAAGAATAAAGAGCTATATTCAATGTTGTATTTGAATAGAATCTAGAAGTTTCTTACAAAACGAATAAATTATATAGGACTTAGTAATAAAATATTTAATAATACAATCATACGTAACATTAAAACATGAGTATATTTTAGATAAGTATTTTTGTTCACCCCTTAGAAACCTATTATTGAAAATTAAGTGTACAGTTCTTCTTTTTCTAAGTTTTGCGAGTTTTTTTCTCTCTTCTTAACCGTTTTGCGAATATAATCAATTTCAAAACCATCCCATTTATTTCTAATTGTTTTTTCCTTAATTATTATCTAAATAAGTTTCTTATTTTTTGTTTGTCTTATTTTTGTATTTACACTTATAATGTTTCTAATGCATTTCAATTTGTGGTTTATGTACTTTTGTAAACGCCCTGTTTTTCATTCGAAAAATTTTAATAGTGTTAAAACTAGATTTTGGATAAATCTTATTTCATATTCTATTTGCCTTTTACTTATTGGCTTAAGTTATGACAACTTGGGCCAATGCATATTTTTGCCCCACTCTACATTGACAATGACTGATCGATTTATTATGTGCGGTTATCAGCAGCGCTTTAAATGCTCAATGTGTTATGTACGGCACTTTCAATCATCTTTCTGTTCATTTATTAAGGAAGTGTTGCATATTAGAGTGTGATTTTCATCGGAAATTCGTCAGTATAGCGCAGCTCAACATATTAGGTGACATGCACAATATTGTCAAAGTTACGGCTTGAAATGTATTTTTCAATGAAAATCACACTCTAGCATGAAGCACTATCGTAATAAATGAACGGAAAGACGACAGAAAGTGCTGTACATAACATAACGAACACTTTAAGCGTTGTTGATAACCGCAGACAATGAATCAATCCGTTGAGCTGCGCTATACTGACCTGTTCAAAAAAGACAATTGTGGGTAGTTCCAGATACTTGGAAAAAAAATCCTTATCGAAAATTTCACCTCGATATCAAGCGCTGGATGGGAAAGTGACTGTAAGTGCCAGTTACTATTCGCTAAACATTCCAAATGTTGCGGATAACCTCAACCTACTTATTCGCTATAGTTTTATCAATTGCCCTTTCACAAGATAGTTTGAGTCACGCAGATTGACAAATGAGCTGGTGGACCATTGATAACAACATTTATGAGCCTACGGGACTGATATTTCATTCTAATTTTAAATTATTATAGTGCGTACTGTTTGTGTGCACCCAACGACTCCACATTAAGGTATGAAGATACTGCCTCAAGATCGTCATTGGTTTCTATTTTGAGTCATGTTTGATAAGGTCTAAAGCCCACTAGGTTGCACTGCTTCTCGGACCCCAACCAGGAAGTCATGATAGACCGATAGAAGTCAGTCCTATACAGCTTTCTTTCGTACCCTATGGCCATTTAATAAACTGGCCACCTCATCGCTTTTCTATCAGTAAATTATGCGCAATATGTAGGTCTCTAGGATGACATTCCTAACACATATTCAATCAACTGAAGCCAGTGTTTCAAAATGTTGACACCAAGTCATTTATTGTCGCTGTGCCCGAACACACATTACCTAACATCCATATTAACATGTTGCTGCCACTGATTCATCAATCCTTCAGGGACAATGAGGATCACACAAAAAGAGTCGTTGAATATTATCAACTGCATAGGGCAGAAGTGCTCTCATCGACGCGTTGTAAACTCGATCTTTTGCAACCAGAATAACATGACGGCACCAAATGTGGTTTATGTTGGCTTAAATTGCTCTAGCTTTGACTTTACGTAGGTTCATCTCATCTGACACGCCATCACCAACACCAACACAGCTACCCTGACACACGAACTGAACAGATTAAGGTTGTATGTAGTCAGATAATCAGTATCAAGAATTGTTTTGCTTCTTTAAGAAGTAGTAGCTTAATGGTTAAATTGATGGAATTTCAGCTACAATTTTCCAGGTTCGAAGTTGACTCCACCTTATTTTATTCTGATAACCATCTGTTGATACAACTATCACTCACACAACTAAATTTTACCCTAAAGACGGATGCACAAACATGTTCTTAATGATGAAGCTGCTGTAAAATTTTGTTTTTTATTGCATTAACATAGTTAACCAACTTTCGTTTTACCATACTACCAATCGTCTCCATTTTTAACGAAAACTTTTGTAGGAAGTTACATGTGTAGATTTCCATCCAGATCCAACGCTGCAAATCCTTGTTAGCGGAAGTAAAGATTATACAATCAAACTGTTTGACTTCTCAAATCCATCTGTTAAAAAAGCTCAACGAAATATTCCGGTAAGTAGCTTCGACAAATTGGTATGTGTATATTTCTTATAACCTAATTCATTTTTGTTTCATCTCGAACTTATGTTCTTTGGAAATCATCGGATTCTCGATGGTACACGGCATGTGTTTTAAATGTAACATTAGTAAACACTCGTTATATTTTAGGGTTTAACTCATGATTTTTGTATCTTGTTGAACCTTGTTCGCAGCTTCCGTATCATCTATAACTCATAATCACACCAAGGCAATTATTTAAGTCTAACATGTGATTCTTATGATCGTATTTATAACTTTTTGAAACTAGAAGTATATCTGATGCATGTTCCAATTCATTCCTACCGAGTTTAAGTCGAATAACTTGTCAAGTAAAGACTTAGTAACCAAGTCCTCTCACCTCCTGCTCGATATTAAACTGCTAAAGTACTATTTGACCATAGATATATTATGGGCGTTGTTCGCAGATTGTAGAATAATCAAGTGATCAATGTATAGGTTAGACGTTGGGTACTAGTTACGGATCATAAATCGGTTCATGAGGTTGCTGAGGGTATGTTAAATATCCCCAACCACTATTTACCCTGAGCCACTATACTGGCTAGCATAAGAATAACGTTTAGGAGCGCTGAAGGTACTCAAGCAAAGATATATCGCCAGATCACATTATCATTAGTTTCCGGTCAAACCACGTTAAAAGGTGTAGACTCTTTGATTGTACAAGTTGGATGATATAAATGAAAATCAGTCATGGTGGTGGAGTTGTATTGGTCATCTATCTTTTCCCAAACCTTAAGTTTAATGTCACTCCATAATTCCCTGATCTTATTCACTCCTTTTCAACCATATTTTATGTCTAGCTACAGCCAGTTTGTGATGCTAACTGGAAAGTTGAATCTTCTAAAACACCATATACTATTAATAATCGTCTGATCACTAGTGTTTAGCTTCGAGAGTTTTTTTTTCAGGAGTTCCAATGATAAACTATGATCAGTGGCTTTCAACTGTGTTGGAAATGAAGGAGTTACTCACCAATGGGATAGGATGATGGTTGTGCAATATCCCATATTGACTGAATTGAGAAATGTAAACTATTTGTTGCTGGCTCAACGGTCTAAAAGTTAAGCACTCATACCAAGACCTAAAGGTTTTAGGTCAGTTCCCTGTTAGGGTCATGGTTGAGCACTTCTTAGAAGCCCATACTGGAACAAAAAAAATTTGAGTGCTTCATAATCTTCAATGGTTTTCCAGACAAAATTAGTCGGTGATACCAACTGTAAAATCCACAACCCTTCCTATTACTAATATATATATATATATATATATATATATATATATATAATATTGTTTTTCATAGTAATTGATATTATTTCGGTTGACTTGCTTTTAATCTTATTAATTTCTTCTCTTACTACTCTGTCATAAAATGTGGCATCGTAGATTAAAACACATTTATTCCAGATCATATGTTATCTATTATTGAATAATTTCATTATTTATGAACTAACCAAATAAACTATCGCCTAATTGAAAATCAATTTTCTTCATACATGTTTATGTGTGTTTCTATGTGTGCATACATTTAATATTACTTTTCTGTTTGTTATTTATTTATCAGCGTAATTTGTTTACTTCCTATTATACATGAATATCAATAGATGTCGTCTGAACAACTCATAGTTATGTTATGTCCGTAACTTCATTGTGTTTTATTCATTATCTACAAAGTAATGATATAAACTAATTGAACTATTAATATACATGTAGGATATTGGCATTGATAATGACTTAAGTATTTAAGAATAATTTTAGAAATATATTCACGTAATAAACTGATTGTCTGTAATTACGTTCGAACAACTTGAATCTAAACTAGTGGCAGTATGACTACTGGAGCTCGGTGTTTTTAAAATGACAAACACTGCATAAATTGTTGGCTTGTTATATCCACTCTGAAACAACAATAATAAGCGATCATAATATTTTTATGATCATTACCATTATTTGACGAAAGGTTTAAACAGTACAAAGGTGGGAAAGATGTGAAAACGTTTTCATCATGAGTGGGTGGTTGTGGATGATACAGTTAAACTACAGTTGTTTTAATGTTATTCATACTGTTTTGCGTGAATAATAGTCTTAATTGTTTCGTACATCTAGCTAGTCTGTTTATTGATTTATTTATTTATTTATTTATTTGAACACATAAATATTGGTACAAGAGAGCGCCAATATATATGCGCCACACAAAACAATGGGAATTCGAAGAGAAGTAGAAAGAAAAAAAAAACTAAGGAACGCAAAAGAAAAAGAGAGTAATGACGAAGAGGTACAATCAGAAGAAATCTTTCAGGTAAAGGAGACACAACCACTTTTTATGAAGAAAGTAAAAGAAGGTTACAGCAGGATCGCCACTGGCTTCTATTCTGAGCCATATCTGATAACGTCTCTAGCCACTGTGTTGCACCATCTCTCGGACCCCAGCCAGGGAGTCGTGAAGGACCAACACAAGCCAGTCCTTTGCAGCTTTCTTTCATGCCACGACACCATGTCATGCACTGACCACCTCTCCGCTTCTTCCAACCAGTCCCAGAGTCGGCAAATAATGCACGACGTGGAATTCTCTGGGACGACATTCGGAGAACATGTCCAAGCCACCGAAGTCGGTGTTTCAAGATGGTGACACCAATTGAGTTATCATCTCTGTGCCCGAACACACGATGCCGAACCTCTGCATTACTGACATGGTGTTGCCACTGAATGTCAGCAATCCTTCGGAGACAGCGATGATCAAACACAGAGAGTCGTCTAACGTCCTCAACTCGGAGAGGCCAGGTTTCACAAGCATAGAGCAAAACTGCTCTCACCGACGCGTTGTAGATCCGGCCTTTTACAGCCAGACTGACATCACGAAGGCGCCAAAGGTGGCCCAGATTGGCATAAGCCGCTCTGGCTTTCACTATTCGTGCATTGATCTCATCACTCACACCCCCACCAGCACTTATGCAGCTACCCAGATACACGAACTTCTCAACTACGTCTATCTGCTCACCATCCAGGGTGAGTACAGGATTGGGATCCTGCCAGTCTTGTAGAAGTACTTTGCACTTCGAAGGTGCAAAGCACATACCATACCTACGGACATTGATTGCCAACTGATTAAGTGCGGATTGCATGCCTTGGGCATTATCGCACAGTAAGACAATATCGTCCGCATACTCAAGGTCGAGAAGTCTTTCTCCAGGCAACAGATCCACACCACCATTACTTACATTCATCAGAGCTGTTTCCAGAATGTCATCGATGGCAAAGTTGAAGAGGAATGGTGAGATTGGGCAACCCTGCCTAACCCCACTGCTCGAATGGAACAATGGAGAGAGGTGGTTGTATGCCCTCACTCTGCCTGAGGTGTTTTTATACAGGGCTTTTAGGATGTTAATAAACTTCTCAGGCACACCCTTCTTCAATAGACAATCCCAGAGAACAGTCCTATCCAACGAATCGAAGGCAGCCCTGATGTCAAGAAACACTACGATTGTTGGCCTTTGATAAGTATGGCGGTGTTCTAACATTTGGCGGAGGGTGAAGATATGATCAATACATCCTCGACCAGAACGAAACCCAGCCTGCTCCTCGCGAGTCAATCTTTCTCGGGTTTTGAACAACCTACGAAGAATGACGGAAGCCAATAGCTTGGACGCAATCGGAAGTAAACTTATCCCCCGATAGTTGTTACAAGAACGACGTGAACCCTTTTTAAAGATAGGGACAACTATCGACTCATTCCATGACGTTGGTACACTCTCTAGATCCCAAACCTTTGTAAACAACGTCGTCAATTCCTTAGTCAAAAAGTCACCACCATCTTTAAAAAGAGCCGGAGGTAAGTCATCTGGGCCAGGTGATTTGTAACGCTTCAAGAGTTGGAGTTCCTTGTGGACTTCCTCCTCATTTGGTGGATCAGTCGTCACCGGCCATGGAGGGCAGGACAGTCTGACCGATGTTACCGGAGCAGCAGGCCAGTTGAACTGCCCTTCGAAAAATTCTGCCCATCGTCCAAGACGTCGATGGATGTTTGTGATTGGCATCCCATCATCCTCGCAGATTGTTTCACTCACACCAGACTTCTTGCTGCCAGTGGCTCGGATGAGTTGGAAGAGCTTCCGGTAGTTACCAGATGCAGCTGCTGCTTCCAGCTCATTAGCACGCATCGACCACCAGGCTTCTCGGTCCTTACGCAAGCTTTGCCCGATTTCCTTACGTAAAAACCTTCGTTTATGGTCAAACTCACGGTTACCCGGAGTAGACCGACGGGCTTCAATGAGTTGTAAGGAACCAGAAGAAACCCAGTGCTTAAAAGCGGGACGTTTCGCAAACCCACAACTGACTGTTCCCGCCATTTTCATGGCGTCATGCAATTGCAACCAATGCTCATCTATACTTTTCGGTGGAGTGGTAGCTAGCCTAGAGGCTAGCTCGGTTCGATACTTACTTGCAACAGAAGTTGCAACCAGCTTCCTAACATCAATCCGTTGATGGCGTTCACTTCGTTGTCCACTGAAAAGTAAGGCAAGATTGGCGCAGACCAAGGCATGGTCAGAGTCCAGATAGGTACTCCAAAAGGAGCGGCAGTCTTTTACACAACCACGCCAGCGGTAGCTGATCGCGATGTGAGCAATCTGAGTCCAGGCTTGAGATGCAGAGGGAGGACGCCAGGTGGCACATCGGCGATGACTGTGCCGAAAGTTAGTGCTAGCCAGAAACAGGTTGTGGTCTGCGCAAAGTTGCAGTAGACGGTCCCCGTTATCTGACCTGCGACCAACGAGTCCCCATCGGCCACCTAAACGACTCTCTTCTGTGCCTAGACACCCGACCTGAGCATTCAAGTCTCCGGCTAGTACTACAATATCTGTCGAACGCACTTTCTGGAGAAGAACTGATAACTGGTGGTAAAACTCATCCTTGATTGCATCCGGGCTGCAATCTGTCGGGGCATAGGCGGAGATGACGAAAAGACATCGTTTCTCACGCCGATTTCTTCTCACTTTGATGGAACTTTCTAATCTAACAGCACATAACCGACTGTTAATGGGGATCCAATCGACTAGTGCTGCCTCAGCTCTAGCGCTTAGTGCGACACCAACGCCAGCAAAACCAGACGAAGATGCCACAGGGTCCCCGGATAAGCGCACGTAAAACAAGCTTTTCGAAGCGACAGATGGAGATCGAATTTGTAGTACTTCGCCAGAGTCTTGAATACGGGTTTCGGATAGACAACAAACATCAATATTAAGACTTTCCAAAGACATAGCCAGCCCTATCTGTTGACCAACCTGCATAAATGTGCGAACGTTGAAGGCAGCCAGTTTGAATGATGCACGTGGTTTCAGAAAATCTGCTTCAGTCCTCGTATTCGGTGGTAACATACAATTTTCAACCGGACAGTGACTCGAGAACGTTTAGATACAGTCGGAATTCCACCAAAGACGAGCCGCTGTATAAGTATAAAAGAAGGTGAATAATGTGGAAAATAATAATAATAATGATAATAATAACAATAATGACAATAATAGTAGTAATAATAATATTAGTATTAATAATGACAATAATTGAAGTGATCATAATTTGAATCAATTGATTGTTTTTCAAAGCGACAAAAGTAGTTTCCATAGACATAAACAGTTCATCATTTGTGTGTTGGCTGTGATACTGCCCGGGTGCCCAAACCGAAGCAGGTGGTTATCTTAGGGGGCCACTCCCCGAGCCTTTGACCTAAAGGTCTAACCCACAAGGCAGTGGAGCATCGTAAGGAGATGCAGTCCCATGGTAGCCGGTGACCAACGATTGGTTCATACGCCATTCGTTCCCGCAGGATACTGGAGCCCATGTGCACCATTGGTTTGGAATCCGGTTAAAGCGCCGGACATTCGCTTCTCGTCCTCTCATTTTCGTAAACAACACCCCCGCCACGAGAAGGCAATGAGTAGGACTTCCCTGGCAGAGGCTATATACGCGTGGCCGTGTGAGAGTATTTCGAGAGGGAGAGCGGACTCTCCCCACTCTCGGCCGTACCAGGGCATTCAGGGGGCTGTTTATTGAAATCTATCCGGTAGATTCAATGAACAATGTGTCCATTTGGTTATTTCAATAATTTAATCAATTATATTGTTTCACCACAATACACCAATTATGTATAAATCCTGACAAGTGATCGGTCAAATTTAACATATAACCACTAACTTTAATGACTTGATACTGTATTGTAATTTATTTAATTCTGGATGACTGAAAACCATTAGGAAGTTATGATTTATTCTGTAAATTTATTAGTTCTAAATCCTACTTTTAAGGGACATATCAAACTAAGCAGTCTTAACCCTGACATTGTGTTGTCAAATCTGAAGTGGAATATTACTATGTTACTCTGACAATGTTCTTTTGCTTAAAAATGGTCACATTTGTTATGTTTTGTTGTTAACTAACTTGTACTATGTACTACTCTGTGAACTGGAAACTTTCAACTTCCTTTTGTTTGACAGTTATATTGCAAATTATTGAGTGGTGTAGTGAAAACACAACTGGTCATGGAACCTCGTATAATTTGTTCTCTAGTCTTATTTCTTAATCAATCATGAAATAATTTTAAAGATATCTTTCTTTGATTAGATTTCTGTTGATCTGTTCCCTTTTTTCCACTGATTAAGGCTTGGAAGTCAAGTGTTTTAATCATCAAATTAGACTAGATTGTTTTCCTTTACATCCTGTCTTTATCCATTCAAAATTCACTCCTGTTTTTACAACCCGTTATCACTGCAATCTTAAAATGTTACTTTAACGATTGTAATGAGTGTCGGGACAATATTACTTGAATTTTTAAGTTAAGTGGACTGTTAGATTGATACAAGCATATTATGGTTGAATAGTTTTCATCTCGTGGCCAGATAGATGTTTTATCCTCTATTACATACTATCATTTCACTTTATATATTTATTGACTAAGGTAATGAAAACAATCTTTAAAAATTGTTCCCATCACAATATTCTTTATCAAAACTATAAAACATTATTTTGGAATGTAAAAATGTGTTATTCACTTTGAAATTTACCATCTTAGTAATCATAAATTTTAGTTAGGAAATTGAATGATTGATTGAAAAATAAAATATAGGTCTTTTTGTAAGCAACGATGGATAGTGGCTAGCAGTGTAATCCAGGACGCGCGTTTCGTCCTATTTGGGACTCGTCAGCTGGATGTACCTGCATCTCAGAGTTGACGTTCACTCAGGGTTTCGAACCGAGTACCATATTTAAGATCAGTTAATTTTTGATCTTTTTTACAAAGTTGACTATAATGGTTAGAAACATTTAGAATATAATTAGAAATTAACTAATCATGTGTTTCATAATAATTGATTGTATCCATATCATCTATTCCCTGTATCTTTGTGTAAATGTTATTTGCATGTTTTTTTTTTCTAAAAATAACCTAATCACAGTATGAAATTGTTAAGAAATGAATATCTCTAATAATTTCTCTTGAAGACTTATTGATCAATGAAACAAGAAAACTGTTTATTCAGTAACATGTTTTCTTTGGAAATCATTTCCTTTGCGTGTATATGAATATTTTATTTATTTATCTTTGTTTTTCTTAAGTACAAATGATATTACCACATATAGATAAATCAATTTGTAATTTTTCATTTCATTATATGTTTGTTAATTTGGCATTTTGTCAATATTTTCTAATAATTGTTCGCTCTTTTTTTCTTTCTTTAGGAAGCTTCCCCAATACGAACTTTACATTTTCATCCATCTGGTAACTTTTTACTTGTTGGCACTCAGCATAAAACACGTAAGCCTTTTCGTATAAATTTTTGAAAGATTTAATGGTGACTTCTAAGTGTTACAGTAATTTTAATATTCCCAATGAAATTCATAAATAACTCATCTAACATTTTCAATATTCAATTTACACATGTCTGGTTCTTCAGTGTGCTCACATAATCCTAATTGACATTTATCATTGATAAATTCTGTCACCCAACGGCCTAAATCATATTTGATTCGACTGTTAAATCATAGTTTATTACTCAAACACATCTGTGCTCCCAAATGCCCGGGTACGGCCGAGAGTGGGGAGAGTCCGCTCTTCCTCTCGAAATAGCTCTCACATGACCACGCGTATATAGCCTCTGGCAGGGAAGTCCTACTCACTGCCTTCTCGTGGCGGGGCTGTTGTTTACGGGATTGAGAGGACGAAAAGCGAATGTCTGGCGCTTTAACCGGGTTTGTGGACATGGAGAGTCCACCTAGGGAAGTTGGGAAACCCTGGTTCCAAACCAATAGTGCACATGGGCTCCAGTATCCTGAAGGAACAAATGGCATATGAACCAATCGTTGGTCACCGGCTACCATGGGACTACATCTCCTTACGATACTCTACTGCCTTGTGGATCAGACCTTCAAGTCAAAGGCTCCGGGTGTGGCCCCCTAAGAAAACCACCTGCTTCGGTTTGAGCACCCGAGCAGTATCACAGCCTTCACACATATCAAATGAGATCTGTGTGACGCATATGTATTTGGTGCCTCCTTGTACCAATATCTATGTGTTAAAATAAATTAAAATAAACACATCTGTAAATATTTACCTCAGTAGTATGTTTGGAGTGCAACGATCCTTTAATGGGCAATCTACTGTATAAATCATCAATACATCTCATAATTCTTTTCATTTAAAGTGAAGGTGGTAGTCAAGATGAATTTACGAACTAAACAGTCTTCTCAAACTGGTTGTAAGAGATATTTTTCCCTAAGAACGTAAAAATGGATTTATCAGAAGATAGTAACAAAATCGACTGGTTAGTTATGTAAGCCAGCCGTACTTTTGATACTATTTGGGAAAAATTAAAAAGTTCCAAGCAAATTTTCTATTTATGTATTTTAGAGAAACTGATTAGGAGATCTATCAAACATGATGTTAGTTATTACACATAATCGATTTCTCGTATCTCATCAGAATACGAAAAAAACCGTGAGGAGGGCTTTCTGATGTCCATTCTTTTTTTTCAGCCACAGTATTTGCGCCTAGGATCTATATCAAAGCACTCAAACTGAAGGGTGTTTCTTTTTATTGTTCTGAATAATGCATGACTGCTATATTTCATCTTTTATAACTACATTTTCCCTATTATAGTTCGTTTATATGATGTACAAACCTGTCGTTGCTATGTATCAGCCGTTCCAGAAGACCAACATCTTAGTGCAGTTAATATGGTTCGGTGGTCACCGAATGGAACTGCTTTTGTTACTGCTGGGATGGATGGCAGCTTCAAGATTTGGGATGGAGTTTCATGTAGATGTGTTAACACATTTGAAGCTGCACATGATGGTGCACCTGTGTGTTCTGTAGTTTTTTCACGTAATGGAAAAGTATGTCAAAAAGTTTGAATATGCTTCCCTTTATATCTATATTTGAATATCATTTTGGGACAATATTACAGTTTATTTCGCAGAGATACCTTGTGCATAATGTAGTGAATAATATCATCAATACTCCTTAATTTGTTGAGTGATCGATCCATTAGTCACTAAATACGATTCTTATCAAATAGATTCCATCGACTATTTGTTGGTTTATGTGAACCAAATAGTCCAATCTATCTTATATTCCAATCTCAGTAAGTGAACCACTCGTAGCATTGGTGGGAAATGCCACATGTAAATATGGTACCATACATTTAATTTAGTGTAATTCGAAAATACTCATCAGAAGTGTCAGTATGTGCAATTCTTTTGCTTGAACAATTGGGTTTTTGTAAATGCTTGGAATTTTTACAAAGTGATCAACACTTCATTCAAATTAATAATGAATGAGAATTGGTAATCAGTCATACACCTAAGAGAAATGCATTTATTTACTTTAGAGTCTAGAACCCTTATCGTTAATTCGTTTTCTGTGTCATTCAAAATGTTGAATCGTTATTTAAAGTTTCGCATTTCTTTCAAGTACTTACGCATCCTAGTATTGCTTCTATGTCGAGTATAAGGTTACGGGTTCGTTTGAGTTATCCATACTTTTAACAACACGCTAATAAAAACGGTAGTTACGATTTTTAGGTATTTCTCTCAGGGCAAATTGTACATTAGCGTTTCCAACTTTTTTTTAATAAGTTTACCGAACAAGTAAAAAACAAGTTTTCCAGAAGCTTTAAAATGTGCTTAACTACTGACCATCCCTATAATACACAGTACATTTTATCAATCTTAGGACATGTAGGCAGGTGTAGACTACCTAGTTGATGTCTGTGTGATTATTACAACCAAATAGTTAGAGACTTTCAATATCATAGCACAAAGTCGTTCGTAACGGTGTAAGTATACCCACTATTAGCCTTCCGTTAGATCCTAAGTTTCTTAATCCCTCATAAATTCTTTTTGTTTATTATTTCGCCAGTTTTTATTTTTACCAAATAGTATCCTCAATGCCTGAGCTTTCCCATCACCACCAATACTGTTACTATCTCTATTACTCTGAGATTTGCCCTGACGACTTCATCTCTGTGCTAATGTGTTTTGTCAACGTGAAGCAATGTATGCATGTGCCAGGTTCTACGTTGCATTTGACTTACTCAATCCTAGATAAAATTCCCGCAAATGGATGTAATGAGATTCTTTATATAGCATAAATAAGTATTTTGATGTTGTAACCCAATATAGTATGTTACTTGTAGTGGTGACACAAAACACTGAATCAACCTAGCTACACTGCTGAATTAAGGCTGACTGTCGGAAAACTTATCAAAATTCATAGCAAGTATAAAATCGTTAGTTTTATATTGTATTCTACCCAACACTGGCCGGTTCTATCTCAGTTTTAGAGGCTTTCCAAGTTGAAAAGAATACTCATTGTGATATAATTGTATCATTTTTCATTTGTAATAAAAAATTTAGTGTGCATATTTCCATTTTTAGTATATCCTTAGTTCCGGTAAAGACAGTGCAGTTAAATTATGGGAATTAGCCACTGGACGATGTCTTATAACCTATACTGGAGCAGGTACAGTAGGACATCAAACACATAGATCAATGGCTGTCTTTAATCACACAGAAGATTATGGTAAGTTGACCGATTAATACACGTTGTAGTTCTCATGTTTGGCTTTCATTCGTTTTTGATACTATTTAACTTTCTACGCTTTTGATTTTATTAATCCTCTTTTTTTCTGCGCTGATGTGCCAGCTTGAACCGAGACACTTGTGCCATATCTTACGTTAACTACAACTGACCGTTGCATTGTTACGATGGAAAATACCAATGGATAACACATAAGTTTATATTATACTCATCCCGAAGATAAGAGTCATGAAACAACTTAGATACCATAAAATTAGTGGTGAAGTAGAGATACTTCATCTGCATGTAAAAGAGTTGAGGTTTACACGACAACAATTACTACCGTGACTTTCGTAATATGTTAGTGCTATGTAACTAACACATTCCTATTAGTTAATTTCCGTTGCAAAATACTACATCTACTGTGTTTTCCGACCTACTTGTTAGAAGTTATCAAGGGATTAAAATCATGGACTTTAATTAATCGTCCGAGAGACATTTCCCGACCGACGTCTACTTCAATAACATTCTACCCTTAGTAGTGGTATTCAATGCGTAAGAGTGATAATATTTACGAAGCGATTTCATTATATGTACGAAATGCTTCGAAAATATCGAGTGTCTTGAATGTCTTCCGCTTTTAATAACCATGTTTGATATTTGTAGGTAAATTTAAAAAGAAATCAGAACTTTGTAGGAGAAATAGGTCATTTGAAATTATTTCATCAATGCCTACTTGTAGCCGTACTTAGAAAAGTCGTATTTTTTAATGTGACTATTATCGCACTTATTTTAGCATTAATTCAAGCATACAATTATATTTATTGTTTTTCTCTGTATAGTATTATTCCCAGACGAAGCAACAAAAAGCCTGTGTTGTTGGGATTCACGTAATGCTGACAGACAGCGTTTATTAGCCCTTAGTAAGTTTATACACAGTGACAATACAGTTTTTTTTTATTAAAATTTAGAAAATCTACCAAGTTATAAGTAACGTAAAAGTTTATTCATTATGAACGAATCATTGCGTGAACTGTTTATCAGTTTACAATCAATTTGCTTTTGCAGCTTAAGATTTATTTTAAAGCGACGGGAAAATCATTTTAACCTCCTTTCACTATTGTATATCAAACAGACTACAGTGATACACAGTAGTTTATTTACATAAAACCTAGTTCATTCACGCTATTATATTTATCATTAACTACCTTGTACTATATTGGTTGAATGCTTTTACCTAATTTTTTTCTCTGTACTAGATCATAACGGGCCAATCCGATGTTTTGTACATTCACCAACAACAGCGGCATTTATGTCCTGTAGTGATGATAATCGTGCAAGATTTTGGTATAAACGTCCTATATCAGACTGAAATTATTGTAACCATAACATTGGACAGACTGCTTTATTTTGTACAAACCAAACTGTTTTATTATTAATTGTTTAAAAAAAGAAATAAAGCATTGTTAATTGTTAAACTAACATTTTATTCAAATTAAGTAGACATTCTTTTACATGACTGGTTAAGAAATAAATAAAACTAAACAATCGAATTTGTGTTTGATCACCTACTTTAAACTAACAATCAAATAATATTAATAATTTGTTTATCTTCAATGTTAACCAGCTTGTCGGGTGATTTTTCTTGCTGATTCAACATTCAAAGGTAAATTGTATTTTTTCCATACCATACATAAAGAATCCACTAGTTCTTCAGTTAGTTTATCTGTATGATGCGGTGTGGGTGCAATACGCAAACGTTCATCTCCTATGTCTACAGTTGGGTAATTTATCGATTGCACATATATATTATGTTCGGATAACAGTTCTTCTGATATTTTCGTACATAGCTTCGCTTCACCGACCTATTAATACAGATAAATTATAAAACACTTATAATAGTGTAAAAATCAAATAATTAGAATTGTATACATATTTCTATAAGTGAAAATGTGAAACACTAACAGATCATTATCAAATTTGTATTCATTTAGATCAATCATCAACTGATGGGTTAGAAGGTTCTTTTATTCCTAGAACAAATTTAATGACACAACAGCGTGTATTTCTCGTATTTCTCCCAGTACTGCAGATTAACTGATGGTTAAAACTACTTTGAATTGAAGCTATTACCTATTGGATAAATTCAAATGCCTAAAGCAATGAGTTGAAACCTACTAGTTTAAATTCCTATTCGAATCGGTAAGTAAATTAGTTAATTAACATAGGCTGTTACAAATGGATTCGACTAATTGTTATGTAATTACCTACTTGCACTTAATAGATTAGTTCTCACACACTCGGGCTTTGTTAGTCAGATCAAAGTACTAATGAAACATAAAAATTATCAAATCAGAAAAATATAAACTTACATGTAGTGGAATAATATGTGACGGCGCTTCAATCACAGGCAATCCTGCTTGACGGAGACTTTGGCGTACGATAGATACTCGTTTTTGGTGTTCTGCACGAAGTTCTTTTCCTTCAGAAGATTTCAAAATTTGAATACTTGTTTGGGCAGCAGCCAAGGAATGTGGTGGTAGTGAAGTAGTAAATATAAATCCAGAAGCATAAGATCGGATCATATCAACTAGTTCAGAACTTCCTGCTAAATAGCCTCCGATACTAGCAAAAGCCTGCGAATACGAAAATAGACAATAAAATTAGCGATAATCATAAAATTACACATAACATTGATCAGGAAAGTAATATTTAATTTGGAAACATTTTATGATGAACGTATTATGTAAAATGATAAGATTTAGCGAGCGATAGTATCATAACCGGTTAACCTTTTGATTTATTGTCATGTATTTTTGCTGTCAATGATGGTCATGTGAATTAAACATGAAACGAAAAGATGGTCATTTCGTACGTGAACAAACTACAGGTAGTAAATGATAAAAAATTAGTTTGTGAACTATCAAACTAGTTACCAATGACGTAAGACTTCTCATGATTTACGCAGTGTTACTATACAATTAACATTAGTACAAGGAGGCACCAAGTAGATATGCGCCACACAAATCATTCGATTTGTGTGAGTTCTGAGATACTGCCCGGGTGCCCAAACCGAAGCAGGTATACAATTAACATGAATCTCAATTCATGGATAGTACGTACGTGCATCTCATACATACTATCAGATGACGTGCACTGCGAAATTTGATCTACCACCTTTTTCTAAAATCTCTCAGTGCAAGTTTAATGCTTGAGTACAAATTTAACAAGATTGTTTAAACTACAGGTATGTGAAAAGTACAAATAACTGTTTAATATAATTAGCAAACCTTTCCAAGTGTACCCGTAATTGCATCTATCCTATGCATCTGACCATCACGTTCAGCAACTCCAGCTCCATGTGCACCGTATAAACCAACAGCGTGAACTTCATCAACAAATGAGAGTGCTTTATTAGCTTCAGCAACATCTAATAAATTCTTCAATGGGCAAACATCACCTATGATTATAAAAATAAATAGCTTTTAAATATAACAGTTTGTAGGTGAATGAAAATTCGCTCGATAAATGTTAAATAACAATGAAATCAATGATAATAATATTTAATTGAAACGGTAAGAGATCGTGTGGTATAAGAAAGGATAGATAGGTTCTAAAACAAAATATGGCTTAAACGAAATATACACTACTTCTACATGAATCAGTTTTCAGACAGTATTTAGCAAAGATTTTAGTTGAGTGATTATTAGTAAATGAGATTTAGCCACTACGTTGTGCTCCAGTCACGATATTGACCGTTTTTGACCACAAACTGCTTATCGTACAAAGAGATGGATAATAATAACTACAGAATGTGACCAATCAATCCATACTAAGATAGGGAGGTCCACTGAGAAGAATAACTACTATCGCAAATAACTGCGTTGTAAGTCTTACTGAAATGTATTATCAGTGAAGCTGTTATAAGTGACCAGCACTCTCTTCTGGAAATTTTAATGAGCGATAGTTATTGTTTCTTGAATTCAAGACCAAAACTGAAATTTACCAGCGAGGCTATAATTCTGCTGGTAGCATAAGCTATTCGGTTAAAACTGAAGAAACTTAAGCAGTTTTCAGGAATGCCAGATACCATTACTTGCGAGTACACTAAGAAGTGAGTTATTTAAAAATTCGTACATACTATCTGGGATGACACTCCAGGAGACAATGCTTTACAACACTCAAAGCCGGATGTTCGCTGTGAATGTTAAAAATGCGAAGTATTAGATAAGAAAGGCATTGGGTTAATATTATAGCGAATCTTGATTAACCGAGTTAAATGCAATATGCACATTTCCATCTACCAATTACCTCAACAGGATATAACTGTAGGACTAGTGTGAATAAAATCTAAATGCGTTTGGCTAAAAATAAAATGAATCCCTGAAATTTTTATTAGTAGTGTGAGCCGCATGAGAGGACTGTGAATTTACTAGTTCGACTCCATGACTCGCTTTTAGTCAGATTAGGAACTTGACATGTTTTACCTTAAAACCCACCAGTACCACATCACTATTCTTTAACTTACTATGAGTGACAGACACCTATTTATCTAAGAATATTAATTTACGTGTCAAATGTTTTTCATTTTCCTACTTTATTCTTATTGACCTTATTAAAATAATTTTCCTATTTCAATTTATGAAATGGTGGGCTTGTTGGTCAAAGGCTTAAACTTTCAAGCAGCAGGCTATATATCGAAACCCTGCGCGGCATCTACATTGGTTTGAGAAGCCTGGTAGTAATACCATTGATCCTCTTGGTATAAACAGCTCATCTCAAACTGAGTACGCGACACTGTACCTGATAAATAAGTTACGTCAAGCGTGTGACGTATGGAAGCTTGGAAATGATATACTACTTTACGAAATCTTTTTCTTTTGTGTCCGATAGTCATCACGCCTATTACTAAAACATTATTAGACTATTTACAAGAACATAAGTCGATTAAAATGTAGGCATTTTTAATAACTTTATGTGTAGTCTACTATTACAGAATAATCAGAGTGTAAAAAAATATTTATTAATTGCCAAAGTTTCTTCAGTGAATATTTTGTAACTAGTCTATATTGAACAGTAATTATTAAAGTCTTCAGGATACATGTGTTTAACGATTAAAAGACCATATTACACAAAGTAAACTCCTTATTTAAGATATTTTAAATAGTGAATACATGATAAGTAGAAAATATTGTTTTAAATTTATTCTAAAGTTATTCTTTTTTTGCTGATTTTAAAACGATAAGTCAAAAAGATTAGTACACTATTATCATTTAAACCTATGAACGGAAAACTAACAGAAGTGACAATTATAAAAACTTTTTCAATGTTAAATATATAAGAGATCAACATAGTTAGTTACCTGACATTGAATGGACTGTTTCAAAAGCAATTAGTTTCGGCGAATCCTTAGGTATATTTGCAAGTAACGAAGTTAAGTGTTTCACATCATTATGTCTATAGATAATTTTTGGACAACGACTAGTTCGAATCCCATGTATCATTGATGCATGATTGCCAGCATCAGAGATTATTGTTAATTCCGGTATACGAGTTCCTAAAGTATGTAATACAGCTTCATTAGCTACGTAACAACTTGTAAATACTAAAGCTGCAGGTTTTCCATGAAGATCTGACAATTCAGCTTCTAATGATTCATGTAACAATGAGTTACCAGATATATTACGTGTTCCACCTGAACCAACACCATGTTTACGTATGGTAGAACTAAAATATGTTTTATAGGAAAATTCATTGTTATATTGGTGATTAAATCAAGAAAACAATTATGAAATTGCTCCATTCATATGAACATGACTAATCCTTGTTATTCATTCATTTTGTTGTTTCACTGATATTATTCAGTATGTGTGTGCACTAATTGTATTATCTGTATAGGGTTGTGGAAATTGTTGAGTTTTAATTGAGATCATGAACCGATCAATGTTAAACCACCATCGAAAACCTGAAGAGACTAGAAGACCGTTTCGTCCTAGTATGGGATGGCTTAGCAGCACGATCCCTAACAAGGGATTCGAATCCAGGGCTTTCCATCTCGCGCGCGGACGCTTGAACTCCAGATAACTGAGCCGGCATCCAACAATGTTAATGTCTAATTCCAACTAATCCAAAATATTGCACGACCATTTTTTATTGTCTTCGGTAACTGCCTTACACCAATACAGATTAGTCCTACTGGTTAAGACTTCTTACTAGAACTCTGAGAATTACCTCTCGAAGCTAGTGACTAGTGAGCACATGATAATCATCAGTATAAGGTTGCGTTCTACCGCCAAACCGAAAGTCCTGGGTTCGGATCCCGCGTAAGGGGTTGTGGATACGCCCTGATGAGGAGTCCCATACTAGGAATAGACGCTCGTCCAGTGCTTCCAGGTTTTCAATGGTGGCCTAACATTGGTCACTTCATGATCTTAATTTTATTAACTTACATTTTCGAAACAAAATTGTATTTATTGACTATGTTTATATAGATACCTGTGTTTGACCATATCCCTGTTAAGACCGTGTGCGACAGTACAAGGACTTATTCAAGAAATTCATCTGTAGTTTATTACTTCCTCCATACCTAATTATGTGAGTAATATAAAATCCTATAAGATAAATTACACCCTTTATTCTTAAAAAAAAAACAATTCTAATATATGTAGTGTTTTAACTTAGATTGATCTATTGTATTTTTCCACTAACTATAAGGGAGAAATGCAATAAATGTATAGACAAACGGAAAGTCTAGGTAATAGGGTACTTAGTGAAAGATCAATTGGAATGATGTACCACGATAAAAGTATTGTAGAAGACTCAATCAGGCAGATCAGACAATGAAACTGTGTAAATAAGTGAAGTGACTGTTGGTTGTTCATATGATTTTAGTAAGTAAATGTCACGAGTGGGGAATACAAAATCAGATTTACCTTAAACAGTAGTTGTGCTCAGTATAATAATACGACCGAAAATAAATCATATCATTTATAAGCGCAGTCGCATAGGTCATTGGGGAGATCGGTTATACTTTATATCGTTATAACTAGAACATTCTGTCGAATTCTATTTCACTCATGGGAACCATGAGAATAGAATATCCGGGACGAATTTAGCATCGTTCATGAGCTTCAAACAAAATTCTTCATAATTCTGATATATTATAATGCAATTCCACATATCAGGTAATCCATCTTATTAATTTGTATAGCAAGCAGTTTTTATAAAAGAGATTAATATAGTGATATATAACTTATCCCATTACACATGTCAGTCAGTAGCAACGTAGAACTTCGTACGTACGTACATCAGTTCGAGTTGCCACACCACCTTAGCACAGAGATGCAGTGGTCGATTCAAATCCCGTAGTGGTAGAGGTAATAAGAGTATAAGCATTAATCGGGAAGATTAGTGTTTGGAGATGTTACTTAAAGATTATAATCCAGTGAAATAAATTTGGGAAGAGAAAAAAAGAGACAAGGAGGAATAAGGAGATCAAAATTTGGGAGAACACAAAGAGTGTATGCACCTGCGCCATTGCAAACGATTTTGAGCCACATATTAAATTAATTTAATTGAACTATTAGTTTCATCAATTATTCTATAAGTATTTAATTTGTCATTACTACACTTACAAGCAATAACATACTCTTGTTAAATAGAATTTTACAATTACTCATTGAATACTAAAATTATTTGATTTGCAGAACTGTTGTGCTTTAATTGAATGAAACTACCCTTACAATTTAGTTGATTTCTGAAATTTCATCTACCAGGTCATCTTATTTGGTTCATGATAGTGTAGGGGTTGAGAAATAAACACCAAATTAAACAAAAAAGAGACTTTCGATTTCATTAATAACGGTAAGAATTTCACGCCACATCACCATTTCTCTTGAACAGTTTGATCTAACATTAATTTATTAATATACTTCGTCGTGTTTGTGCTAAGTGATAACTTTTTTGTACATGATGATATACGTAATTCAGAAATTAAAGGTCAGAGTATACAGGTGGAATCACGTGAAAAACAAGAATTGATGGAAAAAATATCATAGCACTATGGATATTACATTAAAATATTAATTTTAATTGGATTTTCAATGGGCTTTGATTCACGCTTTACCTTATTATCCTTGTTATTCACGTCTCCACTTGTATAGCCTGACCTTTTATTTTTGAGATAAAAGTATCTTCATGAATTGTGAGATTATATTGGTCAGAATGCATATTATAGCACATACCATATAGTACATATTTCTAATATACTTAATTGTGACACTACACCGTTTGAACATAATATAGTTGTCATCGAAATGAAGTTGGATTTTCTCTTACAAATAATCCAACGTTAATCTGTGTTTAACTAAGACTGAGTACCAATTACTATGTAGTAACAGAATTTTGACGATTTACTGGCTACTACTACTACTACTACTACTACTACTACTACTAATAATAATAATAATAATAATAATAATAATAATAATAATAATAATAATAATAATAATAATCACATTTATACCACAAAGTCTTTAAATGAACAGGTACTATCGTAGTGAACGAGAAGACAAGTGGGCACAATCGAATGTATTTGAACACAAAATTACAGAAAATTTTAGTAAAATCTGAGAACTATACAGTGAATACTTCATTTGCAAAATGTCAATCAATTGTCTCAGACTTCATTGTACTTTCGTTTCCACACCAATCGTTATTTGTTCTCGTTCTCTTTCTTCGATCATCTTAACCTTCTGTCTCTAAACATTGCACTTTCGATTGACGATACATACTACTTATATCTGTTGACATCAGTAGCACATACTACACTATGAAATAGAATAACTAGTTTACAAAACTTACGATTACAGAAATAACACAGTTGGTTATCTGTGAAAGGAAACTATAAAATATTTGGGAGATGAACAATTATAAGATAAAGGTCTTTTGTAAGTCACCACCCAAACATTATAGCCTCTAATTAACATACCCAACATCTGTTCGCCATATTGGTGTCAGCATTGATAAGGTTATGTCAATGTGATTGTCCACTAAAAGTTCACAACAATCACAACTAACTGAAGGGAATAAAAAAGTAACACTTACATGGCAGCTTCTTGAACTTTAGGATGCCAACTCATTCCCAAATAATCGTTGGAACACCAGACAGCTACACGACGTTTCATACCACTAGAATAATCATCTGCAAACGGAAATTCAGATGCGTCTCTTAAAATTCTCCTAAATACTCGATAAGTAGAATCTCTTTTTTTTCTTTCTACTTCAGACACGAAAAACTTATTATAATTGAAACCTAGGCAGCTATCACCATCATTACGCACCGAATCGATTGTTTGAGAATGTTCTGGATCAGCGTTCTTTATCGTTATGTCTGTTGTTGGCTGAAGACTTTTTCTCGCAAATATACTCTTTTGCCAACCAGCGAATAAGGCGCACGTGTTTGGAATACATATGTCTACAAAAAGAATAGATAAAAAATATAATCAAAAAAGAACGCTTTTAGATACTAACATTGTAATGAATAGTTTTTTTCACAAATTAGTACGAACAAAACACTGAAATCAGTGGTCTAAAGGTTAGCTATTTGCTGTGAGATCTAAAGGTCTTAAGTTCAACCTCTGATTGGGCCGTGGATACCTACTGCTGAGGAATCCCATACTAGGACAAAACGGCCGTTCACTTCTTTCTGCTCTTTTATAAGTTGTTTAACCAAGTTTACGATGTGATGTAAACTGTAAAATACAAAGCTAGTGTTCATCAAGAAATAACACATCGTACTATAGATAACACGTAGAACTACTGGGTTACTTTATTCACGATTCTGAAATAGTAATTTGTATATAGAAAAGTATGCACATCGAACCCTGCAAACAAGGTGAGCTCATGACAGAAATTAATGAGAATTTAACACGAAGTGTATTCGTTCTTTATGTGTTTTAATATAAAAACAATTCTTAAGTAATTGATATACGTTCTGCAATATATTTATATCTTCCAAATAATCATTCAACTTACCATCAGAAATCCCACATAACTGGTTTTGATACATCTCGTTTTCGTGATTATTAGAGGTTTGGGCGCACAGATAATCATTTGAACATGTTGACTCATATGAATTGACCGTAAAAGGACATTTTTTCAATAAGCACTCTGAGACATTCTCTAAAATACAGGATTAATTCGATAACAAACTAGATGGAAAAAATATTTATAGAAAGGGTAACATACAAAGCTGACAATTAATAACGATGACCAAATAAATGTGTTAATTTTGTTGACTGAACATTAAATGTCAGGTTCTGGAGCGAGGGTATAGTGATTAAAGAATTTGACTTCTTAACGAGTAGCAGGTTCGAATAATGTTCCATCTATTTCAGCTTAGCCAACCACAGTGTCACTATCCCTTCAACAATATGTGGCTCATAGGTGGGTACATAAACTCGTACTTAGACGCTGTTAACTTTTATATCAGTCATCAAATAACAATAATCACTTTCTGTTAACTGTATTAATACGATTTATCGTTTTGCAGAAAAAAGTAAGCCCCTGCTAGTTCATTGGTCCAAATACAAAACTTTCAACAAAGAGCTCAAATACACCATTACAATTACATATATCTATGCAGCTGGTGAAAGTTGTCCCCATATTACATGACAAATCCAATTCATAACTTAATAAACAAATACAGGCATGATTATCAGAATAAGTTTCATGCTATTTATGGATAACCCTGAGGTAATTTTCCCACTATTACTAAATGGGAATGCCCGGTTCAAAGTATGAAAGGGGTGGTTTAGCAGTTAAGGCGTTCGACTTTCGGCCATTATATCCAAGGTTCAAACCCCGCTTCCCCTACTTTGTTTTTGGTAACCGGGTAGTAAGATTACTAACAATCACTTTAAATGTAGCTGAAATCCGATTACCTGATGAGTTGATTTACAGTTAAATGAAACTTAAGGCAAGATAGAATTTGAGACAGAACTATCCATACCAAAAATAAGAATTTAGCTCATAAACATTTCGTCAAAACTTAAACGAATAGTTCTTGAATAGTCGTGATTATACAGAAAATATATAAGACCCAATCACATCTGTATGAAATTTCAACGACTGGAATTAAATAACTCCAATGTTCCTCTCGATTGTCTGATTTGAACTTCTGGGAAATAATCGAAATTAACATTAATAAATGTAGGATCGTGAAGACAACTATCAAATTGTGTTCAAATAAACTTGGTTCATAAAGTAAATATGTTACTTATTGTGAAACGGGCTCAAATAGCGGTATTTGAAGATGTGTATTTATGTTATTCTTATTTGAATCCAGTAATCATGTATTCATAAGCTATGATAAATCTATTCAATAAATGGTTTCACGCTGAACTCCTGTTTGGACATTATATGTCGTAATGTAAATCCAATAATTACAGGTTTACATATCGAACTTGAGTCAAACAGTAAGAGATTTGGAAACAACACTAAGATGAGCAGAGATAAAAAGGCCGTGTGGGGTTCGAACCTCAGCCTAAAGGGTTATAAGTCAAACGAATTAACAACTATACCACCATCATATATAAGTCACTACAAACTGGAAGAAACTTAACGAATTCACGTAGTTTTAGATGAAATGGTTCCTATCTCCGAGTATTTTCACTTGATATACACGAGGGCTATAGTAACTTCAGATATTAATTTAAGACTAGAAGTTTTATACCAATTTGGTTGGAAACAGTGCTGCCAGCCTTCTCGTTCGCTCTTTGTGAATATGAAAAACTATAGAAATATGCTTTTCAGTATTTATTCATTGAATGTTCTGTTGTGCGATTCGCATCACCTTTCTGGGGGAATTTTACAAATTATATACATCAGCTTATTTTACTTCGTATACTTTAAGATAACGCTTTATTCCAAAACAATTAAATCTAAGTCATTAAAGTTAGCAAAAACGCATTTTAGTTCATGGAATACTTAAGCGAAGACATTTAAATATTTTGTCTTACAAATATTCCGTTTCATCTTTATTAAGACAGCTAGGTTAAAACTAGGACAATAAAACGAGTTTGGATAATATGCATAAAAATTCTGACCACAAACCTTACAACTACGTTAAAGTGAAGGATTGAATTGACTGCCACTGGATAAGACATGTATTTCTGTGGATTGTCCACAGTTTTCATTTGAGGAAAACCAGAAAATAGACCTGTCTGGCCACAAGAAGTAAAAATATAGAAATATGGCAATATAAGAGATAAGGGCTTACTACAAACTGATGATTCATCTGACTGACGCTCCATAGCGACATCTGAATACATTCTAGGACTGGAAAGTGGAGTTCCATCAAACAAACGCCTAGCAAACGGACATCTTGGTATTAATTGGATCAACTGTTGAATATCTCTTTGAATCACAGTAGGAGACAATTTACGCAAAAACGGGCACGACGTCATTGTAAAACCTTAGACACAAACAAACAACAAGTCATAATGAAAAACAAACAAACCAGTTATTTATCACTAAGAAAAATATTTATCAGAATATTAGAAACTGATGCGTACACATTAGTATATTGCGAAAACAAATCATTACATCAACTTAAGACATGACAACTTTTCTAGAGAAACGAAATTGATCCGGATGAATGACTGCATTCGACGCTTTTTGGTACGTATGAACTTTTTCAGAATTACCAATTAAACGAAGAACGAATTTAATTGTGGTAAACTTGTAATGTACTGTTAGAAGTTATCAAAAATCATCCAACCTATAATCACAAAATTACTTTTCCGTGTTTGGTAGTGATACTGATAGTTGTATTTTATGAAGATTCCCCAATGTGAACTGTAGTATGAATGATAACCATTTTATATGCTAAATTTAGGGAGGATAAGTGAGAAAATATATACTGTAGAAGAAAAATGAAAATAAGTACAACTATTTCAACTCAGTTAAGTCTGAATTTACTTCAGTAACACTGAACTGCCTGACTACACAGTAACGTTGCTTAATCTGTAATATATTAGAGATTCAACTTCGGCAGACACCATATGATGCATAAACAGGTAGTGATAATTAATCATATGATGGTCCAACTTCAAACTAGTGACTTTCAAATCCCAACTATGCATTGGTTGAGGAATCTGGTAATGTTTAGTCCAAGGATCGTTACAGTAATAATAATGTAACTCAGTCTTCAAGTCCAAATCTGCATACTTGATTTCCAACGACCCTTTTAGTCAGTCTAGTGTTCCTACAGGCTGCCTAAAATCCAATAGGTAGAATTGAAATCGAACTCGCAACTCAGGTGTAGGAATCCAAGTGCAATGGCCAAATCAGTACTTTATAATTAATGTTAAATATAACACAATGTGCATCCATTTGACGAGTTTACGTTAAGCTGTTATAAATTAGGTCACACTGACTGATAGTTTGAAGAACTAAGGCCGAAATTCGGAACATAATATAAAATTACCCTTACTATTTATGAAAACAAATCGAGAGTCTGGACCATATCATTAACACGATCTTGAGGATGTAAGACTCAATAATCATACTATATCACCATATTTCTTCAAATCTTGAAGACCGTATAATTGATAATCTGTTTGTACCTGATCTTTTTTTAGATATTTACGATTATTTGTGATATAATATCTAGCTTTATATCGCCTTTATCTCAACCTATATATCAATGTAAAATGTTACGACTGTGTCAAACCACATTATCTGCCTATCAGTATAATAAAAAGGAACTATAAGAAATTATATCAATCACGTATAAAATATTCGAAAGTACCTGCTTCATAAGTTAATGTATACAAATTAGATACTAACCACCTAGATGGATGTATTATGACAGGAATATGTGCATAAAGTCCTACATCTTACTAACAGAATGTAGCACAAGCCGTGTAACTCTTAGTCATATATTCGGTTATGTTATGGTCCTGGAAGAGGACATTACAAGAGGCTTTGCAGTAATCACTCTTCCCGAACGGATTATGAAAAGAAGGTTAAACGAACGCTTTTTGGCTATCCAGTCAACAACAAAAACTGTTTAGACAAGCACTAACTATTTAGAGTTTTAATACATCACACCACCAGGTATAAACTAGTGCTGGATCTTGGTAAAAATCGTGTCCCAACCCACTGAAATACTCTTTGTGCAAGATTTTCAATCTTTCGCAATCTGGTACAGAAAACGGACCTTTAGAATTAAACAGCCAAACCCTAGCATTTGCAATATCCAAGTACTTTGCGAGATGGTCAGTAATTCCATTCCCTACATTTATTAGCTTATGTATTGTATTATATTTATTTATTTATTTACTGTCCGAAAAAATATGGACTACTTAGTGGTTGGAATTCTTGAATCCTAAAGGTTGCTTAACCAAATGTGCGGGTTATTTACTACGGTAACCTATATTAGTCCAGTCCTCCCTACAAGCTTAAACTGTGGAATTCTCAACTGAGTCGTTTCCAACTATCTTGTAATTATTCATATAAATTTGACCACAAAAGTAAAATACTACGACTTCAAAACTCTTGAAAGCTACTTACTATTGACAGAAATATGTAAAACCAATAAACACTAGCGCTTCACACGTCTACAGTAACGTCCAAAGTCGTTAGGCCTTTAAGTGCTACGCACAAATGTCATTGGTTGATTTTACAAGCTCCTAATTCAGATTCCATTGAATGTTTCAATGCTCTTTGTGCTTGATAAGTTATCCACATGCACCCTATCAAAAGCCTGGACATTTAATTTCATGGATTGAATCATTATCCTGGAATCTGTGAGTACCATCTAAGGAGATCCCTTGACGGTCACATGTCTCACTAGGGGAAAGATCTCTAAGCATCAAAATCACCCGAGGCTACTTCGTGTAACAATCACTAACGCTACCAAAGTATTGGATATCCTATTAGCTAATCACTTATTGAAATCAGACAAGAATGTAAGAATACTGCCTTGCATATCGTATTCTGAGCGCGATCTCATCCGGAACACCCTAAAGTATCTCTCGAGTTTTTCCGCGGAAGAAATACCACTGTGCAAGGGGTGCTGGAAAAAACGGTCCCTGGTCACTCAAGCCCTGATATTAGGGAATGGAAATTCACCGAGCGATCCTTGAAGCTCAAAAACATACTGACTCAACAAGTGGTGAGTTGAGCCAAGAAGGACGGAGATTCTAGGCCCCGGCTATTGAAGATAACTTTCCCATCCTCCCATATGGCGGCGGCTACTCTGGAAGCATTCTGTGCCCACAGAATGCAGTATGACTGGGATCCATATGCATCCGGATAGGCAACAGGACGCCAGGATTAAGCACAAAGTCGAGTTAGAGCTGACCATTTCACTTGTGGACTGTCTTGATTGTAAAAAGCATGTAACGGACAGACTGTCAACTCGAAAAACATTGCGTAGGTAGCCTACCTGTCCATTCACATGAGACTCATACAGACACACAGGACGGTGAAGCTCACTCGTTTCAAACTGTAATCACAAACTGCTTATACATGAACGCCGCTAGTTGACCGAATAGAATGGATTAGCTATGTGAATTTAGCAATGCCAATAATGCTCATCTGATAGGTATATCCGTAACTTGGATATCTTCTCAGTTTACGGACCAGGGTCTAGCAATACCCGGGATGTTTTCGTTTTGCAATGACAGAAAAACAAGAATTGAGAGTGGCGTAGCATTTTACTTACTGTATTGCCTAGAGGTTCATCAAGTGCACAACCAGGAGTTTATCAGTCTTGATGAATCCGTATGGTGCTCAGTAGGATTGTCCACCACCTCAAGGTGTCTAGTTGAAGTCTTCTACAGGAAGCCCAATGCTGAATTCGAGTACAATAATAGTGTGCTGGAAGAATGATCCCACCCTACCCGTTTCGGATTCACTCATATCCTGATTCTAGAAGAAAAGATACATCTTCTGGTCCGGATATGGTTCATTCTGCTATGCCACGAGAAGCAGCTGTAATCCTGACAACACCGCTTGGCGTGATGTTCTCACACTTACCGCATATTTGGAAGCCGGCTCACATCGCGCCAATTCCAAAGTAGGTCGACGCAGCGAACCTTCAAGCTACCGGCCGGTGGCTCTTCTTTCCATACCTTCAAAAATTATGGAGTCCCTGATATGCGACTATTTATTATTCTTAAATCCCAACAGAATAGTTTCAGGGAGGGTTACTCTTGTATAGCCAACCTGCAGAATGTGGTGGACGCATGAACAACCATCCTTGATCACAAGGGGAATGTTGACGTCATTTGCCTTGAATTCTCAAAAGCTTTTCATAGGGTTAACCATATATGTCTTCTCAATAAGCTAAAACGATTGGGTATCAAATCACCTCCAATCGACCGGCTCGCTTCATATTAAAAAATCGACATTTCAAGGTCAAGGTTAATTTAACTTTCTCTCAGTCTGTGGAATGTCTTGGTGAGGTCCCCCGTGATTCAGTACTAGAGCCTCTTCTCTCGATTTATATAAACGATATTCCACAACAGGTATCGTTTGACTTAGTACTTTTTGCTGATGATGTGAAACTTTGGAGAGAGATATGCAACCAAGAGGATATAATGGCACTTCAGAAGGGTCTGAATCGAATTCGAAGTTAGGCAGGTGACAACGAGCCTACCTTTAACACTTCAAAGTGTAAAGTAGTCCAGCTGAGATATATTACAGGCTACAGTTATAGCTTAGGAAACTACTCACTAGAAGTATTCGAAGTTGAAATGAATTTACGAGTGCTGGTACTCTACGATCTCAAGTCTTTAGCCAACTGGTACAAAAATGTCTTTCGAGCAAACCTGACTAGTTTTACGGCAGAACTTTCCACGTAATCTTCAATAGTTTTATTCGTCCCCATTTAGTGTACAGAAACATACTATTTCCTCCCTCACTCCAAAAAACAAAGACACTCTGGAACGTATCCAAAGGCTAGTCACGAAATCGATTCGGGGACTTAAATTCAGACCTTACGAAGAGGGCCTCCAATCACTTAACCTTTACCCATTAGAGTATAGACGTCTTAGGGGTGACCTTTTATTGGCTTACAGCATCCTTAACACTGCTGTTCATCCTCTTAAACACCTACTTAAGTTTAGCCCCAACACAAACCTAAGGAGTAACACTCAGAAACTGGAAAAACAACATAAGAGAACGGACTTTAGACACAACTTCTTTTCTCTAAGAGTTGTCAAATGCTGGAATTCGCTGCTGACTGAACTAATCCAAGCGACTTTTCAGGAGTACTTTAAGAGGAAACTTGAACTATTCTTAAGGACTAAGGATAATATCTTATTGTGATTTACCAATATCATTTTTTCCTCTATTTTCGTCAACATACCTAGGTTTCTGCCTGTAGGTATTGGTGATCCACTGTTACTAGACGTAGAAGCCTGTTAAGCTGAAGCTTCTTCTATTCCGTCCACAACCATTTGAACCATTTGAAGGAATTTTGTGGGTGCTCTGAGGTGAAAATCATTTTGAGTATATATGCCCCTGTCTTTTATTATCGAAGTATTTGTCGAAACCGTAACATATCTTCAAAATCAATGTGTCTTTCGGCGACTAAATATACTACTCCTTCCGTGTTTTGTTGTAATTTGTCTCGTTTGTCTCTGAGATATCGTTATTTAGGTTTGCAAGTGCCATTGTAGTAGCAAATATATGCTTAAAATCAGCGTTTCTGTAGATTGTTAAAATTGACACTGACCTCAGTAATTTCACCAGATGCACCTTAGCTGAATAAGCTCAGACAAGCATCCTCACCAGACCACCATTTGATACGCTGTTCTACTCATCCCTTGCAACAAACAATCAGTTTAGATTGTAAGACCATTGAAATGTCACTGTGCCCTAGCCAAATCATCCGACAGTCGGTTCACTGAAGGTCTGACAGTTCACCGATCCTCGTCAAGGTCAACGGCAATCAACGCTCATCAGATAATTGTGCACCGCGAACGTCCTCATGTAGCAGTGGTCGCATTCTGTTTTCTGTACCTATTCTTACTAATATATTGCTTTAGTAACGTCGTTTGAATTGTACGGTTATCAGAGCAGCCTTAGCACATGGATACGACGAAGAGGTAATCCATATTAGGCAATAACTGTGAGGTGTGACTGTGACCTTAGCTAGATGATCATGCTCTTCCTGGCTAACCGGAATCGGCCCCTAGTTATTCGACACAGACCATCTGCATTAGTGGTCCACAAGATCAAACACTGCACGACACGTTGAATACCTTTCAAATAAATTTTTGAATTCCTTCGCTCCTGACATTTGATTTTGGCTGGATATGAGATCATTAGATTATAAAGAAGTTACGGAGGAAAGCGTTTTTAAACGCTAAATATTCGTGATATCTTTAGCGGTTCTCTCGACGTGATATGCTACAGCAAACACAAAGCTGTCTGTTCCTTGTTGTAAAACTGTATATTTATATTTTTACGTATCGTGATAATATTTTGTTTCTCACATTTTTTTAGCATGGTTATGCATTCTATATTTTTCGTGTCGGAACTCATACTCAAAATGTCCAAGACTAAAACTCGTGTCATTCTGGTCTAATGACATCAAAGCTTGGTGCTATTATGCAGAAACATGGCCCTGAGTTTACAAGCGCGTATTTCATAAGATCCTTAAATGAACAACTCCAGGGAAGTGCAAAAATCATGCGTTCTGACTAAAACGTGATGAGCGCAATCTTCAAAGTGAAGAGAACTACTGCAAAATCAACTGTGCTCTCACAACACGATACGTAAACCTTCATCAGTATCACCGTAGATAGAGGAGACTTAGTTTTCGAAGCAGTCTTACAACATTGGGTTAACAACACCTAGCAACCTTGGACATTCTTCTCGAGACAGTTGCAAGACAACACTTTGGGAAGGCAAATCCTTGCAAAATATTGTGCAGCAGGAAAAGTTTAAAAGTCCATTGAGAGCCGACAATCCACTACATACTCCGACTGAAAACCTTTCACCTGTTCTCAAAGCTCGTCTTCAAAAAATTACTTCACTCGAGAGTCTTGGCAATAGGAACACATTACTTCAGGTATACAATATATTTCTTGGCGAAAAATTCAGTCATAGACACATCGTCTCTTATAACTTATTTGAACAGTTTCCTAGAGTTCAACCCTGTGAACTTGCCCACGTTCAAAAGGAAGACAGTGAACTTCATCACGAGTTACTCGATACAATCCTGAAACTACAGGTCAAGCTGAAGGGCATTGATCAGGAAACTTTACTATGTGACACATCTACAGGTAGGAATCGTCTAATCGTGCCTGAACATAATGGACGCAACGTCTTTAATACACTGCACGAACACGCTCGTTGAGGTGTACGAGAAACTATTAAAGTTATAGCAGAATATGAATAAACATATGAGCGTTTGGGTACGCTCCCATGTAAACTGACGGAAATCCAAGGTGATTAGGCGCAACAAATATCCCTTAGCCTCTATCATATCTTCCAACTCTCGTTTCGACCATGTTCATCTTGATTTGATAGGACTCAGATACAAACAGATAATTTGCAAACGTATCATAATGGACTTTTGTTACTTGATATTCTCAATGCATTGAAGGCTGACGTTAGATACACTGCATCCGAGCTCGTTTCCAGTACGACATTTTGACTTCCAGAAGAAT